CAGCTTTCCCAATCTCCACAGGAGTTAAGATTTATTTTTTAAATCTATTCTCTGCAATGGCCTGGAAGAGGCAGAAATTCAGTGTCCGTTGTCCATTTCGGCTGGCTTCGCTGCCCAGCCCCCAAATCTTGCTGGGTGATGTAATGAAGGCATGGTTGTGCCATGTGGTGAGGTAGATAATCCTATTATGTTCTGGAAGGTCATGCCTTAATCCCATCACCCTGGAGCTGAAGGCCTTTTGTGGATAGGCTGGCCCAGTCTTAATGTGCACCAAATATTTGCTGGGGGCGGGGAGCTGCCCTTTGTCTTTAAAAACTTGCTTCTCCTTTTCTCATCCAGGGAAATATAATATTCTGCCTTTTTAATATTTCCTAAAATATTTCATTCTTCTAGGAAGGGTGGGCGCTAACTTCCTTCACTTCCAAACACAACCATGCTAAATGCCCTGTGCTTCTGTAACTTTGCATACACAGAAGTCTCCATTAGGTCAAAGCAAATAAGTGACATATCCAGCAGGGCTAGAAAAGGAGGGGGGGGGTTGGAAAGAGGAGATGACTGACTGTATATGGTAAGAGAAATGTTTCCAAAAGGCATTTCAAACGGTTGGGAAAAAGTTTGGTAATAGAGATGTGTGTGCAAAAATATATCAAAGTCGCCCCATTCTTTTCTTAATTTGGAATTTTTTATCTAATAAAATATACAAAACAAATAACGAAGAATGGAAACAGAAAAGCAGGAAAGGAATTGAAAAAAAAATCATATAATTGCAACTTCCGCCTTTTTCTCTGTTGAGAAATTGTCATCACACATTCTTATATGGAAATTATCTTTGCTCAGTTGACCGGAATAAAAACTTCCTTCGAAACTGATCGTGGCCTGAAGTCCATTCCTCAGAGAAATCCAGTCCAACATTTCCCTTCCACGTTGCTCATATCTGCAGAGGAACAGGGAGGATTTTCTCTATACACAGGTAGCAAGCAGTAACCAGAGCCTCATGGTAGAGTCCCACTTAAGAACTTCTTGGGCCAGGTGGGATCCCAGGGAATGAGATGGGACCAACAGGCCACGTGTTTAACAAGTCATTGTTTTTCTAGCCCTGCTGGATATGTCACTTGCTGTCAGGGTGAATAAAAATAGATGATTTTTTTTTTTAAATGGATTTTTAAAAATTTAAATCGGATTTTTTTAAATTTAAATCGGATTTTTTGTTTTTTATCAAATTTATTTTAATAAACTGCTTTTGGAGTAAAAATCTAAAGATAGTTTTCTGTTTAAGATACATTAATAATTTAGTTTATATGAAATGGAGCTTAGTTATGAAGCATGAAGCTGTATATTCTGCAATATTGGGACTGTCGGTGAATCAACAGCGGGTCAGAGGAGGATCTGCTCCAGGACAGTTACTCTTTAAAAATTATGATTTAAATCGAGTTGATTTAAATCAAGCCTTTTTACTAGTGATTTAAATCAAGATTTAAATCGTGATTTAAATCGACTTGATTTAAATCAAATCCATCCTGCCTGCTTCCCTGGGATCTCATAGCCCACAGCACAATGGTGAAATCCATTTTTTTTTACTACTGGTTCTTTGGGCTTTGCTTGGTGGGTGTGGCAGGGGAAGGATACTGCAAAATCTCCATTTCCATCCCACTCCAGGGGAAGAATAGTGCAAAATCCCCATTCCCTCCCCAGTCCTGGGGGAAGGATATTGCAAAATCTCCATTCCCTCCCCACTCGGGCCAGCCAGAGGTGGTATTTGCCGGTTCTCTGAAGTACTCAAAATTTCCGCTACTGGTTCTCTGAACTACTCAAAATTTCCGCTACCGGTTCTCCAGAACTTGTCAGAACCTTTCACTCCTGCCACAGCAGATGTATAACAGGAGTGTGTGTGTGGGCGCACACATACACAAGTTTGTAGGGACCCACCAAGCTTCTTGGAGGGGAGTCAAAAGTTCACTTCCTCCTCCTGCTGTATGTTCCTTCAGGGCAGGTCTGTGACTTCTCTGAGGAAACACTGTTGATGGTGGAAGCCTCCCAGAAAAACAAGCAAGTTAGAAGGACAGCAATTATGCAACAGAAAAAGTCAAGTCTCTGGAGTGGCACTGAATGCCTGGTGATTTAAAGGATTCGTTATTACAGGTTTCTTGACAGCAACACACGAACTGTCATTTCTTTCTTCAGGGTGTTCTCTCCCCCCTCCCTCTCTCTCTCACACACACACACACCTGCAGAAATTGCAATCAGCTCAGTGAGAGCAACCTGACTACTCTCTGATAGTCAATAGGAAGAGAGAGAAATGGGAGAAGTATAAAGGAACGTAATATTATGGCCAAATCCTGCCTCACCTAAAGCAGCCAATCACTTGGAAGATTCAACATATATTAATCACTGTTCACGCTGGATTCCAGCAAAGCATTGGCAGCCTTCTGAGCAGCCCTGACCTAAAGCAGAACCGCAGTTTATATACTGTTTAGCCCACTACATTACAAAGATATAGAAACAGGCAAGCACCCTATAGCTGTGATGGCGAACCTTTTAGATCCCAAGCGGCCAAATTGTGTGCACACGCATGCCCAAACTGAAAGGTACGAGTATGGGCATGGTCAGACAAGCGCATGCATGGACATGTGCACATGCATGCACGGACCGCGCAAACACAGCAGAGACACGAAGGCCACCTGGCTGGTGGGAGGCAGGGCATCCCAACTCCAGCAGCACGGCAAGAGGTAAAATCTTTTTCTTTCGTGAGCTTCTGTTTCGTCGGTTGCGAAGAACACGAAGAACGGTTACAGGAATTGGGTATGTCTAGTCCATGCGTCCTCAAACTAGGGCCTGCAGGCTGCATGCATCTCGACGAAGCCATCAATCTGACCCGCGCAGGACCACGAGGCTGCCCCAACCACATCACCCCGCCCACCCTTCAGCCGAGCGCAGGACTTACCTTCATAAGCCCTGCAGGCTGGAAATGAAAGGTAAGGCCAACAATTTTTGCCTGCAGAATGATGCTGGAGGTAGGGGAGGTGAAAAATGGGGCAGACAGATGCTCCAGGAGACAAAAAAATGGGCAAAAAACGGCCCATTTTTGGCCAAAAATATAGGCCATTTTTGCCTGCAGAATGCTGCTGGAGGTAAAAAATGGGATGCACAGATGCCCGAGGAGGCTAAAAATGGGCGAAAACTGCCTGTTTTTCACCTCCACTGCCTCCAGAATATAGATAAAGAGAGAGAGAGAGAAAGAGAGAGATAAGAGACACACACACAGAGAGACTTGATTGTAAGCAACTTGGGGCTGAGAAGAATTGCTGCAAAACTGAGTTTCCTGAAGTCGACCACTAGACTCCTAAACAACTGAAAAAAATGATCTAGTAAAAAGAAAAGTCAACCAAAAGAGCAACACACAAATAATAGCAAATAAAACACCAGCAGGAGCAAAACAAATTAAAGTTTAATTTGTGGGTAATGTTTAATGGACTGTTAAATTGGCCACGCCCACTTAGTCACATGACCACCTAGCCACGCCCACCCAGCCGGTCGGAGGGGCCCAACAGTCTGAGGGGCCGTGAATTGGTCCCCTGTTTAAAACAGTTTGAGGACCCCTGGTCTAGTCTAATAAAAAGAAGAACAAGGGGAGACATAATAGCAGTATTCCAATATTCGAATGGCTGCCACAAAGAGGAGGGGGGTCTACTTATTTTCAAAGCACCAGAAGGTTTTCCCTCCCCAATCCATCACAAGCCACTTCAGTTGTTCCATGCTGCTCTGTCTTTTCTTAAAATGATATACTGTAGGTTGATAAACTGCTTCAGTGCATAACCCTGACGTCATCTAGCATGCGGCTGGGATGTCGAAGTGAGAGGCATGTCACAGGGCTGACGACCCAGGAGAGCAGGCACACAGGAAGGTTGTCGGTCAAAGTGTGCAGCAGAAGAATGGCAATCCCCACACGAATAACAGCCCCAAGTGCCGCCGCAGGACTGGGGCTGACAAAAACAAGGAACAATGGATGGAAACTAATGAAGGAGAGAAGCAGGGTCTCCTGCTTGATCAGGGGTTGGAGCAGTGGTGGAATTCAAATTTTTTCACTACCGGTTCTGTGGGTGTGGCTTGGTGGGCATGATGTGGCTTGGTGGGCATGGCTTGCTGGGTGCGGCAGGAGAAGGATACTGCAAAATCTCCATTCCCGCTCAACTCCAGGGGAAGGATACTGCAAAATCCTCATTCCCTCCCCACTCTGGGGCCAGCCAGAGGTGGTATTTGCCGGTTCTCCAAACTCAAAATTTCCGCTACTGGCTCTCCAGAACCCGTCAGAAATCTGCTGAATAGCACCCCTAGGTTGGAGTCAAGACCTCCAAGGTCCCTTCCAGATCTATTCATATTGATCGATCGATCGATCTTAAAAGCTGCAGCCTTGAATTTGCTGATGGAGTTTGGTGTAGTGGTGAAGGCACCAGGTTAGAGAAACGCCCAGTTCCAGTCCCACCTTAAGGGCAAAACCATCTGTTCAACTTTGGCCAGTCCTCTCAAGCTTAGGAGCAGGAAACCCCTTTCAAAAAACCTTGTCAAGGAAACTGCAAGGCCAGACTGACGCAAAGGTACCAAAAACGAAGCTAAGTAGCGTCACGTTTCACTATTTCACTTGGCTCAGTTGCAAAGGTCGGTTGCTAGGAGTCGAAAAGGATCTGCTGCCATGTAATCAATGAAAACATCTTCCAAATGCCTTGGTACAGACTGGAGAAGCGTGTTTTTCCACCTCCCGTCGCTAGATGGCGGTGAGGCAACATCTGTGCCTAGAAATGCATTAATTCAGTAGTGCCATCCGTGCTTGAGCTTGAAAAAGGAGTTTTTAAACAATCGAGTACTGCATTGCTAGAAAGGATGGGAGGAGAGGAGAAGCGCAGAGGAACTTCCTCTTCCGGATGGCTGATGGGAGGAAGTTGGTGTGCAGAGCGGCTTTTGTGCTCTTCCCAGGGTTGAAGCAGCAGCTGGCAGGTGAGTGGAGGGCAGCAGGTGGGAGGAGAGTCCGGGAGCAACTTGGGCTGGAAGCGGAGAAGCAACTGGGCTGAAGCCTCTCAGCTGCGGCTGCTGCAGGTTCCTTCCCTCCCCAAATGGAAGCCCACTGGTGCTGCAGGCTGGGAAACTGGGGGCTGCAATTTCTGCTGGTGGGAAGCTTGAAAAAGCCTCTTTCAAGTGGAGGTTGGTTCTTTGGGAATGGCTTCCCTCCAGAGGTTGTGGCTGCTCCGTCCCTGGAGGGTTTTGAGGGGCGATTGGGCAGCCATTTGTTCTGGACGGAATAGGGTCTCCTGCCTGAACAGGGGATGGACTAGAAGACCTCCAAGGTCCCCCCAACTCAATTCTTCTCTTATGGACCTGATGTCTTCTGGGCAACAAGATCGGATTTATGTGTCTCTAGTCGTTTCTGGGTTATTTTGCTTCCATTTCTAGCTAACAAGCACCGTGTTTTCCTATTAGTGCCCCCATCCATGTATTCACCAGGTTCAACTGTGCTTAACCCAGCACTTTTTAAAAACCAGCTATTGAATGTTTTGACTGTTCAGTTGTATTTATTTATTTATAAAATGTATTGGCCACCAACCTTACCATGACATAACTGTGGGTGGTTTAGAGACAGAAAATAATACATACACATTAAAATCTAAATAAATTGTAGGAAGAAAAATCCGGTCCGGTTCCAAGCCAGGAGAAAGGAGCTGGAAATAAAATGCTTAGTGACACAGATGCCAGTCCCAATTGCAGCCACTAAGTGAGGACTACTTCAATTGGGATGTCACCAAAGGGGTTGTGGAAAGCATTTTCTGCCTTTACTTGGAGTTCGTGGCTTCCATGGGCATAACTGGTGCTTCAAATCTTGCAGAGGCTTTAGGCCTCATTTGGTCATTTAAAGCCCCCAGATTCTGTCAAGTTAGTGTCATGTAGATTGTCAGGTGTGGCTCAATAAAATAAAAGAGAGTTCAAGTGTGTTTATTGATAAGCCAAGGCATTTCTTCAGCTGAATAAAGATGGGTCCCTCCTAAGAAGGAAGGAACCCTGAACATAGTGAAAGGCAGATATTTATACATTCTTTGCTTTTGCTTCATTACAGAAGGGGCAGCTGGGACACGACAGATAAAGTATAGAAATTATAGAAATTATAAAAATAGTCAAGCATGCCTTCTGTGATTTTGGTCACGTGCCTAACAGACAGGCTAGTGATTTCCTGTGAACGTTTCCATGGCCTCTGAAGACTGTTGCAGCCTGAACTTCGTCCTTATCATCTCAACGTATGAGCAAACATCAAATTGATCAGGTTCCTGATTAACATTAGTGCAGAAGGTATGATTGAGATATTTTTCAGGCTTGAAAGACATTGATTTTCTCCATATTTTAAGTGTGTGTATTTTTATTTCTCCCTGAGTGTATATGTCTAAAAACATATAATCTGTCCCCAGGACTTCCAGATATACAGTTGTGAAAAAGAAAGTACGCTCTCCTTGACTTCTATGATTTTACATATCAGGATGTAATAAAATGAATTGGTCCTTAGAAGTTCTTAAAAGTACAGTGGGGCAAAAAAGTATTTAGTCAGCCACCAATTGTGCAAGTTCTCCCACTTAAAAAGATGAGAGAGGCCTGTAATTGACACCATAGGTAGACCTCAACTATGAGAGACAAAATGAGAAAACAAATCCAGACAATCACATTGTCTGATTTGGAAAGAATTTATAGTGGAAAATAAGTATTTGGTCAATATCAAAAGTTCATCTCAATACTTTGTTATATATCCTTTGTTGGCAATGACAGAGGTCAAACGTTTTCTGTAAGTCTTCACAAGGTTGGCAGACACTGTTGCTGGTATGTTGGCCCATTCCTCCATGCAGATCTCCTCTAGAGCAGTGATGTTTTGGGGCTGTCGCTGGGCAACAGGGACTTTCAACTCCCTCCAAAGGTTTTCTATGGGGTTGAGATCTGGAGACTGGCTAGGCCACTCCAGGACCTTGAAATGCTTCTTATGAAGCCACTCCTTCATTGCCCGGGCGGTGTGTTTGGGATCATTGTCATGCTGAAAGACCCAGCCACGTTTCATCTTCAATGCCCTTGCTGATGGAAGGAGGTTTGCACTCAAAATCTCACGATACATGGCTCCATTCATTCTTTCCTGTGCACGGATCAGTCGTCCTGGTCCCTTTGCAGAGAAACAGCCCCAAAGCATGATGTTGCCACCCCCATGCTTCATAGTAGGTATGGTGTTCTTTGGATGCAACTCAGCATTCTCTCTTCTCCAAACACGATGAGTTGTGTTTCTACCAAACAGTTCTACTTTGGTTTCATCTGACTATTTGACATTCTCCCAATCCTCTTCTGGATCATCCAAATGCTCTCTAGCAAACTTCAGACGGGCCCGGACATGTACTGTCTTAAGCAGGGGGACACGTCTGGCACTGCAGGATCTGAGTCCCTGGCGATGTAGTGTGTTACTGATGGTAGCCTTTGTTACGTTGGTCCCACCTCTCTGCAGATCATTCACTAGGTCCCCCCGTGTGGTTCTGGGATTTTTGCTCACCGTTCTTGTGATCATTTTGACCCCACTGGGTGAGATCTTGCGTAGAGGCCCAGATCGAGGGAGATTATCAGTGGTCTTGTATGTCTTCCATTTTCTAATTATTGCTCCCACAGTTGATTTCTTCACACCAAGCTGCTTGCCTATTGTAGATTTAGTCTTCCCAGCCTGGTGCAGGTCTACAATTTTGTTTCTGGTGTCCTTCGACAGCTCTTTGGTCTTCACCATAGTGGAGTTTGGAGTGTGACTGTTTGAGGTTGTGGACAGGTGTCTTTTATACTGATAACAAGTTCAAACAGGTGCCATTAATACAGGTATTGAATGGAGGACAGAGGAGCCTCTTAAAGAAGAAGTTACAGGTCTGTGAGAGCCAGAAATCTTGCTTGTTTGTAGGTGACCAAATACTTATTTTCCACCATAATTTGTGTTGTTTCGATGAAGAAAGACGTGTAGGCAGGATGATGGTTCACGGGAAGGCCCCTCGGGTGGAAGGCACCTTGATCAAGGCACCTTGGTGTGAGGTACCTTGGGAAAGGCACCCTCACCCCATCCAGAAGGCTTCCTTTTATTGTCATTTTACAACTACCATGGCAAAACATTAATCAACGTTTACTTGATGCTGATTTTATTTATTTATTTATTTATTTTAAATTTATATACCGCCCTTCTCCCTGAGGACTCAGGGCGGTGTACAACCAGAATTAAAAAACATAAAATACAAATATTAAAAACAATTAAAATATATATAAATTTGGCCCAAAATTAAAAATACAAACCAATTAAAACATTTAAAATTTCTTCTTAAACCAGCCCGGCTTGCTGGAAAAAGTGGGTTTTAAGGGCATGGCGGAAGGCACTAAGGTCTTGGATTCTCCTTATCTCTGGGGGCAACTGATTCCAGAGGGTAGGTGCCCCCACAGAGAAGGCCCTCCCCCTGGGGGTCACCAGCCTACATTGATTGGCTGATGGCACCCTGAGGAGGCCCTCTCTGTGGGAGCGCACGGGACGATGGTAGCAGCAGGCGGTCTCGAAGATAGCTAGGCCCGATGCCATGGAGCGCTTTAAAGGTGATAACCAGCATGGTGATTGGCTAAAGAAAGCTTGTGAATTCCATATGGCCCCCTCATGTCTTCCTCATGTATTTCCTGTGAGAAACAATTGCCTACGTGTTGGGCCCCCATGCCTTGTATATCTTGATATAGGGTCTCTGCCAGACATCCTGTTTCTACATTCCTGATAAGATTAGGATTCTGTGGTAATGTTGTTTACCCAGTGCGGTTTGCCGACAACTGAGATAACACCATCCCCACAATTTGCAAATAAATTCTTTCCAAATCAGACAATGTGATTGTCTGGATTTGTTTTCTCATTTTGTCTCTCATAGTTGAGGTCTACCTATGATGACAATTACAGGCCTCTCTCATCTTTTTAAGTGGGAGAACTTGCACAATTGGTGGCTGACTAAATACTTTTTTGCCCCACTGTAGGTAAAATACAACCAGAGAGGAACAACAACACATGACATATTACATCAGGTCCTCATTTATTTTATAAAAGGAATCCAAAACAGAGAAGTCATGTGTAAAAAAAGTATGATTCAGTAATTTGTAGAACCACCTTTAGCAGCAATAACCAAAAGTAATTCTTTTCTGTATGACTTTATCAGTCTCTTGCAGCATTGTGGAGGGATTTTGGCCCTCTCTTCTTTGCAACATTGCTTCAGTTCATTGAGGTTTGTGGGTGTCTTTTTATACACAACTCTCTGGAGGTCCCGCCAATCTCCTCCTCTTCCTCCTCCTTCTCCTCCCCACCGAAGCAGCAGCAGGCTCAGTGGGAGAGGGAGTAAGGCAAACTCCCTGTCAAACAGTAAGGCCAGCCATGGAATTGGAATCGGCCAGGTGCAGGAGGCAATGCCGTCCGTTGCTCTGGTGCAGTGCTCACTTACGTGGGCCTTAACTGTTTGAAGGCTGAATGAAGCCTTCAACTGAGTGAGGAAGCACTGTGGGGCCAGGCCCTTCACACCCACGCCCTGCCGGAGTTTGCTGTGCTGGGGCAGAAATGAGACCTGCAGACCCCACTGCCACATGGGCAGGGAGGACGACAATGAGGAGAAGAACTGCAATGCTTTGCACCGGCTGGCCAGGGAGGGAGCGGGTCAGGTGGGGCTGGCTGCCTGATTGGGGAGGAGGCAATCATGGCTACCGTCGCCAGCAGCTTGAATGCCCCGACTGAAGCTGGAGTTTGCCAATGCCAGGGGAGAAATGAGAGGCCCTGCTGTCCTGTAGAGCCTGCCGCTGCTTGAGTGGGGAGGATGAGGAGAAAAAGGGCTGCTCAGGGGGCTCCTGCCCCACCCCCACCCCACACTGCCAGCAGCTTGAATGCTCTGACTGAAGCAAGGATCGCACACTCTCTCATACACAGAGTTTGGAGAACCCCCCTCTTCTCTCTCTCTCTCTCTCTCTCTCTGTCCCACTGTGGCAGCAGTTGCGGTGCTTCAGTGCCTTGCTGGCGGGGCGCTCAGGTAAGCTGGTGTGGGGCGTAGGGGGGGGGCAGCCCCGCACCAACCCCCCCCACCTTGCTTCGTACTCCCGCCCCCATACCGTCTCACTGCTCAGGTGGCTCCTGCCGCCCGTGCCACTGCCAGCAGCTTGGGTGCCCTGGCTGAAGATCTCTCTCTCTCCCATACATGCACACAAACAGAGGTTGCATTAAGCTCTCTCTCTCCTTCCCCCCCTTCCCATTTGCATGTGCATAATGAGATCTCATTAAGTAGTTAAATGGAAAGTAATTTGGGGGGGGGGGGGAAGCAGGAGAATGGCGAACACTTTGTGTGCCGAGAGTGAAAGCTTCTGGGTCCCCGACTCTCTGCAAAAGAAGATGGGAGCATCCATTCTTGGCACGAAAAGCATTTCCAGGCCAAATCTCCTCTCCCTTCCTCAGCGGCAAAGAAACAGAGAAGCAAAGAGAGGAGACAGATGTTTGCAAGGTAAGTGAGTCCTTGTGGCAGGAAGGGGGAGAGAAGCATGCGGGATCTTAAGTGGGTCAGGGAGGCCTTGTGGGCCTGTTCTATCACTAGGCCCCCCCATGGCCTTCCCCACCCTGAGATGCCTCATGTGCACATTAATATTCTTGAATTGTGAGCTCTTAGGAAAGTGTCCCCCCTTGTGTGTTCCAAACAGCTATTTCTAGTGGGGAAAACGGGACAAAGCAAGTGGAGAAAAATATTATTAAAATAATAATAATTTTCCTTTGCTATATTTCCAGTCTGAATTAGACCATGGCAGGGTCCCTACGGGAGAGCCCTTTTAAGGATTATGTATTAGTAGAAAAGCAACTAACTTACATCTGTTTTTAAACACTAAAGCTGTTGCAAAATAAAAACAGAGGAGCTCTGATCAACTATCAGAGCCATCATTTTAACAGTTTTGCCGTACCGTAGTCTGCGGACGCCCCCACGAAATGCAGGCATGGGATAAACTGAGCGTGGATTTGTTCTCAGTCTTATAAGTGGGCACAAACTACTAGCAAAAGTGGCATTTGATCACAAGGCGAGGAATGTTTCCTCTTTTGCATTTGAGCATCCAAGAAGGGACAGGAAAGACAGAAAAAGAGGGGAAGAGAGCAAGGAAGGAAAAAGAGGGGAAGGAAGAAGAAAGGAAAAGGAAGAAGGAAGGAAAAAGGGATGGATGGATGGAAGGAAGGAAGATTATAAGAGACTGAGGATCTGAGGTAAATCCTGCCTTAGCACTTGGCCACCAGCAGCCCCGCTGCCTTTTGCCATCTCCTTGTCCCCTCCTGACCTCTCCTGGTGGTCTCCCATCCTATCACTGAGGATGCTTTGGTTACAAAGCCGGGTCTCCTCATAAGGACACGGAGTGGGCCTCCCTCTGACCCACACACTTTGCCCTCGCGAGCACACCATGAGCAACCTGGCCAAGGAGAGCGAGCACAGCAGCAGTGGGCACTGGCTACGCCCACCCTGGCCCCACAATCCTGATATGGCCCTCAATGAAACTGAGTTTGACACACCTGCTATAGAACGATGGGTTTTAAATTATTTGGAAATGGCTTTTTCAATCTTCCCAAATTGATGGGCAGCAACAATTGCTTTTCTAAAATCACTGCTGATGTCTTTACTCTTTGGCATTGTGTTAATACACACCTCAATGCTGGAGATCAGCAAACTCACAACTTCGGCTTTTATAGATGTGGTCATACTTGCTGATGATCATTGGATCAAGGGCAGTTTATTAGCAGTACTTGGCTGCTACTTTGCCTCTATACTATGGAAGCAGTGAGGAATTTCCTAATGGTGAGAACAATTAACCAGCAGAACAGCTTGCCTTCAGACACTGTGGTGCTCCATCACTTAAGGCTTTTTAGAAGAGAAGGGATAGCCACTTGTCCGAAATGGTATAGGACAGGGTGTCAAAGCCACAGGCAGTATCATGAGGTATTGCAATGTTTTTTCCTTTGCGGAGCTGGGGTGGGTGCACCCTGCATGGGCCGTATCTGGCCCGCAGGCTGCCAGTTTCAAACACCTGGTATTGGGTCTCCTGCTTGAGCAGCAGTTGGATTAGAAGACCTGCAAAGTCCTTTCCAATTCTGTGGTCCTGTCCTGTCCTGTCCTGTTCTGTTCTGTTCTGTTGCAATGATATTTTGTATGTCTGGATAAGTAAAACCCTAGAAATCAAAGAGGGAGTGTTTCTTTTTCACTTCACTGTATTTGAAAACAACCCTTTGCACTGCTAAGAATTTGTGATTGACTTAGTCAACAAGTGAATTTCATCATTTTTCATTGGAATGTAAATGTTTTTCCTTTTTTGTCATCTTCTGCAACCATTTTATGCATAATTAAAGATACACTTTTATTTGAATCTTATAGACAAAGAGGATGGCAATGAGCACTCTGGACAACTGAGGATAACAAGCAACATTGAATAGCCTGACTTGCAGTCCAGAAATCAAAATATTTTCCATTTCCTTCACAGAGCCTACAATTCTTCACCTTCCTTAGCAAGTGAGAGGGAAACGAGAGAAAATCAAGAAGAGATTTCTAGCCGGGAAAAGTACAGTGTGAAATTCAAGCATACATTACATGAAAAGTCAAAGGAGATTATTCTTCCATTGAGCAAAAAAAGGAAATATCTGGAAGTCAGTGGGGAGGAAAAGGTCAATTGGAAAGCCACGTAGAGCAGACAGTGTTGCAGGCCTCGCTCTGGGAGCAAGAAAACAGCTTGAATCAAAGCACAACTAAACAAGGGATCATTCATATTTTTGACCTCCTCAAGAATATTAGTTGTGGAAAAGCTCCATAGAGGTTCCTGTGGTGGGAAAGATACCACTTGCAAATCACAACTGATTATGCCTGAGAGGATCCAGACTGAAGGAAAGCCTTACATATACTCTGAATGTGGCAACAACTTTGGTCAGAACAACTCAGTTGTGGTTCATGGAAGGATCCACACAGGAGAGAAGCCATACAAGTGCTCCCAATGTGGTAAATGCTTTAGTGAGCATGGCAACGTGGACTCACACCAAGGAGAAACTGTTTGAATGTCCTGATTGTGGGAAATGTTTCTGTAATAATTCCAGCCTGGTGATACACCAGAGGATTCACACAGGCGAGGAACCCTTTAAATGTCCTGACTCTGGGAACAGTTTCAGTCAAAATTCTCACCTCATTTCACATCAAAGCACTCCCACAGGAGATAAACCATTTGAATGTCCGGATTGTGGGAAACGTTTCAGTCAGCGTTCCAGCCTGGTTAAACACCAGAGGACTCACACAGGAGAGAAACCGTTTCAATGTCCAGATTGTGGGAAAAGTTTCAGTTGGAATTCCAGCCTGGTGAGACACCAGTGGACTCACACAGGAGAGAAACCCTTTCAATGTCCTGATTGTGGGAAAAATTTCAGTCGGAAGTCCAACCTGGTGATACACCAGAGGATTCACACAGGAGAAAAACCTTTTGAATGTCCCGATTGTGGGAAAAGTTTCAATCAGAGTTCCAGCCTGGTGACACACCAAAGAACTCATACAGGAGAGAAACCATATGAGTGTCCAGACTGTGGGAAAGATTTCAGTATTAGGACTAGCCTTCTAAATCATATGCTTATACACACAGGGGAGAAACCATTTGAGTGTCCCGAGTGTGGATGGTGCTTCAGGAAACATTCCACCCTTACTGCACACAAGAAAATCCACATGAGGCCCCAAGTGATGAGTGTAGAGAAGGTTTGAACTTCATTTCTAAAGTCCCACTGTAAGTCCAGCTGAAAAATTAACTGTCTAATTTAACTACAAAGAATTTGCGTAATTTTCTGTAGACAAATATGTAATGGTATTAGACGGGAAAAAGGAAGAAAAAACTGGCAACATATTAGTTTGATAATGCCTATCTGGCCATCAGCAGCAGAAGTTGCTGGATACAGGGAATCCGCGAGTTGAGAATGTAATGGATCCTGCCCATTCCATCCGTAACTCGAGAATTCATGGGAGTGAATCTCATTCATTAAACAACATCACTCCCTGCTTTCTCCCATGCATTCGTTGTTTTCTCGCTCTAGATCAGCTTGATGAGGCCTCTGGTGCCGAGAAAGCAGCCCCGAGAAGCTATGCGCAACTTCTCAGGGTTGCTTTCTCTTTGGCAAAACACTTGAGGATTGCATTCCTGTAAGCTTTGGCAGCCCTTTGCAAAAAGCCTTTGCCTGTAGCAACAGGGCTTCGGAGGGATGTGCCCGCTCCTCCCAAGCTCCGCTGGTGCCAATAAAAGCTTCCCACACAACCTAAGAGTCAGAGGGGATGGTCTACAGGGCGAGGTCAAAAGCCATAAATCCCCACTCAGACAAACAGTCCATTTCCTCAGAATCAAACTTTGAAGCTCAGATTGAAAGGTGTAAAGTAGGTGTTGTTTGGAGGATACTGGATCTTGAAAGCTGCAGTCTTGAATTTGGGGCTGGAGTAGGAGGAACGGCTGAATGGATAGATTTTGTGGAGACGAAGAAAGCCCACTTTGATGATCACCAGGCTAGAGCCTGAGTGATGCTCATTTCTGGTCCTGCTCCAGGCACAAAGCCATCTCAGAGACCTTGGCCTGTCCCGTCCTCTCAGGCCTTGGAAAGGGGAAATCCGCTTCCAAAAATCCTTGCCAAGGAAACCGCAGGTTAATGGGAGTGCAGGATAACTCCCCAAAATCTACTTTTGCAACTGAGTGAACCTTGAAGAGTGAAGCCTGACCTACTTATCTTCTCAAGATTAGGGAGGTGTTGTGCCATAAACGTTTACAAAGGTCTTGTTTGTGTGCATAGCTGCTAAATGATTTCCAGCTTCATCCTATCAATAGAATAATGAACAATAACTGGAAACATGCAGTCTCCTTGCTTCCAAACCACATTGAGATAAGAGATATTTTATCTATCTGCTTCCTTGCAGAACCTAAATCTCAATAGAGGGGAGAGTTGCTCTAAGCAGCTTTTCCTATCTGTACAGGAGTTAGATTTCAGTCTTATTACTCCCAAATTTTGGGCAAAAGACTTGGAGGGCACTAGATTGCAGAAAGCAGATATATAGATTTTGCACTTTCTTAGAGGTGACTCAGGGGAGATCATATGTAACCTCTCTGAATCCTAAAACTTTATGACTGATTTTCTGTGGCTGCCAAGGTTATAGGACCCAGGAGAATCAGTGGGTTCAAAGGGTGCCAGCTTCATTCGTGCTGCCCAGAGATGCTTCCAAGCACACCCATGCTAAATGCCTTGTGCGTCTGTGACTTTGCATATACAGAAGTCTCCATTAGGTCAAAGTGAGAAGATCACATACCCAGCAAGGCTAGAAAAGGGGGCTTAACAAGAGGAGACGACTGTCTGTATATGGTAAGAGAAATGTTTCCAAAAGGCATTTCCAAGGGCTGGAAAAAAGATTGGTCATACAGATGTGCATGTAACAATGTACCACTCTGTCTGATACCCATTCCTTTTTTAAATTCAAAATTTTAATCTAATAAAATATGGAGAACAAACAAAAACAATTGATACAGAGAAGCAGGAAAGGAATCGAGTAAAGAAAAATAATATAATTGCACCTTCTGCCTTTTTCTCTCTTGAGAAATTGTCATCACACATTCTTATATAGAAATTATCTCTGCTCAATTGACCAGAATAAAAACTTCCTTGGAAATTGATCCTGGCCTGAAGTCCATTCCTCAGACCAATCAAGTCCAACATTTCTCTTCCACGTTGCTCATAGGTACAGGGAGATTTTCTCAATGCACAGGTAGCAAGCAATAACTTGACCCTCTTGGTTAAGCTCCACTTAAGAACTCCTTGGGCCAGGTGGGATCCCAGGGAATGAGACAGCACCAACAGGCCATGTTTTTCACTGCTTGCTGTACAGGGATCTCGTATCTCACACCAGATGTACAACAGGGGCACACCCAGACATACACTGTAGGGAACCACCAGACTCCTTGGAGGGGAGACAAAAGTCCACTTCCTCCTGCAGCTGCATGTTCCCTGTGGCAGGTCTGTGACTTCTCTGAGGAAATACTTGATGGTGGGAGCCTCCCAGAATAACAAGCATGTTAGAAGGACATGAAGTATGCTGCAGAAAAAGTTAACCCAAGTCTTTTTGGAGTGGCACTCAATGCCTGGTGGTTTAAAGCAGGGGTCCCCAACCATTTGGACCTCAGGGACCATCAAGTTCATAATTTTAAATTTCGCAGACTACTAATACGAACCCAACGCGCTGCTTGCTGAAGTGACGGGATGGGATCCTTCAGGCACTCTCCCTCCTCTCTCTCTCTCTCTCTCCCACTCTGTCCCTCCCTCTCTCCCTCCCCCACTGTCTCTCATTCTTTCTCTGTCCCACTCTCATTCTCTTTCTCTCCCCCCTCTTTCTCTCCCACTCTTTCTCTCATTCTTTCTCCCCTCTCATTCTCTTTCCCTCCCTCCCACTCTTTCTCTCTCTTTCCCCCCCCACTCTCACTCTCCCCCTTTCTCTCCCCCACTCTTTCTCCCCCTTTCTCCCCCCCTTTCTCTCACTTTCTCTCATTCTCTCTCCCCCCACTCTCTCTCTCTCCCCCTTTCTCCCCATCACTCTCTCTCCCCTTCTCTCTCTCTCTCCCCCACTCACTCTTTCTCTCTCCCTCTTTCTCTCCCACTCTCTCATTCTTGTTCTCTCCCCCCTCCCCCACTCTCTCTGATTCTCTTTAATTTTGTCTGATTCTCTGATTCTGATTCTCTCTCTTTCTGTCTTCTCATTCTCTCTCTCTCTGATTCTCTCTGTCGCTTTCTCCCTCTCATTCTCTCTTTCATTCTGTCTTTCTCTCTCTTTCATTCTTTGTCTCTTTCTTTCTCTGTCTCATTCTGATTCTCTCTCTTTCTCTCTCTCTCTCTCTCTCTCTCCTCTCTTTTTCTCACCTTATGGGCCAGCCAGTGTCTTGGGGCTGAGAGGAAGTCAAACATCTCCCTGAGAGACCGAGGTGCACGGAGCACCAACGAGGGCCGGAAGAAGTGTGGGAGCGAAGCACTACTTGTACTTGCACAGCATAAGCATTTGCCTTGGTATATTTGCGGCGCAAGGCAGCCCTCGTTTCCTGCCGTTTGGGACTCGGAGTGGTAAACAGCGTCTGGTTCGGGGAGCAGCCGGATTTTGCTCTCCATTGCTGGCCAATCTGGGATGCCAGATTGCCCCCCTGCAAGCTCTTGTCTCTCGAGGAGCCCGGCCAAAGTCTCCAGCGCCGCTTTAGGGAGCGCTCCTCGAGACGAGAGCTTACAGGGGGCCGATCTGGTGTCCACAATGGAAAGCAAAATCTGGCTGCTTCCTGAACCAGACGCAGTTTACTGCTTTTAAGTCCCAAGTGGCAGGAAACGAGGGCTGCCTTGCGCCACAAGTATACCAAGGTGGAATCCTGATGCCGCACTAGAGCAAAGAGAAGAAGCAGGATTTTGCTCTCCATTACGGACGCGAGATTGGGCCCCTGCAAGCTCTCGTCTCTCAAGGAGTCCGGCCAAAGTTTCCTGCGCCGCTTCAAGCAACTGCTCTTCGAGAGACAAGAGCTTGCAGGGGGCCGATCTGGCATCCATAATGGAGAGCAAAATCCGGCTACTCACTGGACCAGACGCTGTTTACCGCTCCGAGTCCCAAGCGGTAGGAGACGAGGGCTGCCTTGCGCCACCGGCTGGCACAAATATAAAGAGGCGGAATGCTGTTGCCGCACGAAAGAAAGTAGTGCTTTGCTCCCGCAGCTTCCAGGCATTGCAACCGCCGCTTCAGCCCGCTTGCGCCGCCCCTGCCACTGCAACAGCACTATTTAATTTCGGACAGCAAGGGCTGCGCTCCTTTTTGCGCATTGCATGTGCCACCCCAGGGTAGAGATTTCCAGCTCCGCCACAGCCCGTCCCATATTCCAGAGCTGTAATAGTCTCACTCACAGGACTGGCTCGTTGGTCATCCCGGAGCAGCTCCTCCATCCGGGAGCACCAGCCTGCCAGGGAGCAGGCAACTTTGAATTAAAATACCATATTTTTCAGACTGTAAGAAGCACCAGAGTATAAAATGCACCTAGATTTTGAAGAGAAAAACAAGGAAAAAAAATAATTTTTGGCCTCCGTGCATCTAGTTTTTGCCCTCCCCAGCCCCCAGGAGCACTCTGCAGGCCTCTCAAACCCTCTGCGCATCCTGTTTTTATGAAAAACGGGCCCGCTTTTGGCCTCTCGAACTCCCCATGTGTCCCGTTTTTGCTCTCACTAGCCCCCAGGAGCATTCTGCAAGCCTCCCAAGCCCTCTGTGCATTCTGTTTTTCGCAAAAATTGGACACGCAAGGGGGAGTTTGGGAGGCCAAAAGCGGCCGTATTCAGTCTATAAGACGCACCGACACTTCCACCCACATTTTTTTGGGGGGGGAAGTGTGTCTTATAGTCCGAAAAATACGGTACATCCCAAGGTGGGGGGGGGGAAGAACCTACTCACTGATGTATTTTACATGTATTTTTTAAGGAATGTATTTTAGGGCGTGCGCTTCCGAACCGGTAAGGAAGGTAAGATTTCACCCCTGGGCAGATAGGTATTTTCCATGCATACCACATTAATACCCCTAAAGTCCATGGATAATCTCATCAACCCATCTTTCTTCTCCTTAAAGGGGACGGGGGCAGCTACCTGGGACTTGGCAGGTTGGATGAACCCTCGGGCCAGATTGGTGTTGATGTACTCCCTTAATTCAGGCATCTCTTTTGGGGTCATGGAGTACATCTTTGGTTTGGGTAGTTTAGTCCCTGCTATGAATCCTATGGCGCAGTTGGTGAGGTGAGAGTGTGTTGCATTCTTCCTCGCTCAATGCTTCTCCTAGTTCCTGATATTCCCTGGGGACTTGTGGGCTTCCTGGGCGCGGCTCTGTGGTGGTGGTGGCGGCTTTTTTGCCACTTGGTGGCTTTTCTACTCCTTTTCCCTCTGGGTCGGCAGGGCGACATTCCTTGTGCTGGAGTTCCGCCCATTCCTTGTAGGAGGAGGGAGAACTTGATGGATTGGTGGGCTATTCTCCCCTCTTCTGTGGACCTCCATGCCTTTGCTGGTCCAGGAACCTTTGGTTGGGGGATGAGTGCCAGAGCCAGGAACTCTTAACACATGGTGGCTTTGCTGGCCACATCGAAAGCACTTGATCAGGGCCATTGAGGTCCTCCAGGATGGCTCCTCCACTCAACGGGAAGTGGGTCACCTGGAAAGTTGTCTCTTGGGTTTTCTCTCTGATGTTTCTTTGTGGTGCGGGTAGATCTCAAGATCCATGACCACAGCCATCCGGTACCAGTCATGGATGCAGTCAGGGACCTCCTGAAATATGCTGTCATTGCGCAGTTCTTGGTCCAGACCTTCCTTGAAGTAGTGAAACAGGCAGGTTCAGGTCAGTACCACAATTTCCGCACGAGCCTCTGAAACTCCACGACGTACTCCTTAGCCGGGTGGCCCTTTTGCTTAATCACCTTCATCTCCGCTTCTGCTTCATTACTATGGGCTGATTCCTCGAATATCGTCCTTGAGGTCTAAGTCATCGATGTCCTTGTCATGGAGCTGGGTTATCCACTCTGCTGCTTCACCCGCTGAGGGTGGCGGTGGCTGCAGACTGGCTGGTCAGGCTGTCAAGGAGGTAGATCGGGCCTCCTGGGGACTGCACTAGTGGGAGTAGCATTGGGGCTGCTCCCTGAGTAGATCGACCCCTTTTGGTAGGAAACGTAAAGGTCGGCTGGCCAAGGAGCACCATCATCTGACGCTCCCCTAGGCTGCCAATGCTGAGTTGGCTGAGTTTCTCTGGCAGCCCTTCTAGGGTCTAGCTGTGGCTTGCAGCCTGGTACTTCCACACCCTGGACTTGCTGAGGTTCATAGGTCCTGTTGACCTCCACTTGAGGATTGTGGTCCTGGAACATGGACCAGTAGCCGATATCTTCCTCCGCCCAGTAAAGCTCTTGTGTGGTCAACCACTGGGTGTGAGTTTTGGGCCGGGCACCCATCTGGCGTTTGAGCTCTGCGGCTGTTGCCAACTGGGGCAAGGAGGGGTACTGTAGGCTTTCAGCAACCCCTCCACAAGCTCTGTCAGTGCCCATCATCTCCTCCGTCCTCTTCTCCATCTTCCCCAAGTCTCCCCATTGCCTAGTAGACCGGGTAAGCGGCGGGAGCTCAGGACACCAAATAGCAGCTCCAAATGGAGTGAAAAGTTTCCTTACAGTTTAGTAGAGAGTTGGTTTAATATCAGGGTTCTGAGTAATATATCCATCGCAAGCAAAACTCCGAGGCATGTGAATTCCTCAAATAACAGCTTCATTGGAAATATCAAATTGGCACATATCTGGTGAAAACCACTCTGAAAAGTCCCATGGTTTTCATCTAATTAAAAGTTTTCCTCTCAACCTCAAACAATCAGTCATATGGTCCAATCACTGCAGCATCTGCTGGTCTGGTGACATCACTCCTCCTTCATCCGGCCAGGTGCGAGAACGTCCTTGGTTCCCAAGAGAAAGTATTTTATTATGACTACACCATCCCAGCTATCTCTAATCCCCCCCTCCCTATCCCTTGCTCTAATGTGGCAGCACTGAAGCACCAAAATGGCTTTCACCAGAGCAGTTTCAGGGGTGACAGTATCTATCTCTTTATTTCTTAAGTACTGACATCTGCTGTGGGCTATTAAGGAAGGTGGGGGCTGCTTTCTCCCTCCAGGAAAATATAATATTCTGCCTTTTTAATATTTCTCAAAATATTTCATTTTTCTAGAAGAGGAGTGGGTGCTAACTTTTTACACTACATATTCACTCCCCAGATTTTATTCCATTGGTGGTGCATGCTTTAAAACTGGTTCTCCTTCATATTAGGGTTAACTTGTGATTTTATGGACATGTCCTTTTCTTGGAAACAATATGGAACATATAAAGCCACAGCTACCTTCTGTGATTTTTTAAAAATTCTATACCTAGCAAACAAACAAACAAAAGATTTCCTAGTGGTGCACCATCCATGTTCAGTTTTATAGACAGTCCTCGCCTACCATTTACAATCGTGTTGAAAAAGTAGGCTTACAAGGGTTCCTCAAAGTTGTGACCATCACAGTTATTTGGGGGTGGCACTGGCTTGCAATTACAATAGCTACAGTGTCCCACAGTCATGGAATCACCATTTGGAACCTTCACAATTGGCTTCCAACAAACAAAATTGATAGGAAGTTGTAAGTCACAGTCGTGGTACATTGCACTGAAGATAACAAGGTGATTTGTTTAATGACCACAGTTAGAGTGTCAGGTTTCGAGGTTGTCTCAAATAAATTGCATTTCAAACAAAGTCTTTGAAGAAAACTCCCATTTATTAAGCACAACATTCTAAATCTGACTCCATCGCAGCCAACACTGACTTCCACACCCAAACCCCTCCCTTTCCGTTCCCCACTCCCCTGCACTCATTGGCCATCTTCCAAGTCACTCTACCCCTAATCTACTGCTCCAGCTCAAAGGAATTTCCCCCCTCCCATCCCATCTCCTAGGGGATATTATCTCCAGGGAAAATAAGTAGGTGAAAAGTCAAACATCCCTTTCCAGACGCCTCCGCTTCTCCTTCTTATGTCAGCACTAGAGTAAATGCAGCTTGAAGTGCTGACATAGAGCAGATATTGTAAATTGGTGTGGTTAAGTGTCAGTGTACTGTGAGAAGTAATCACAAACCCCACGTGCACCCCGAGAATGAAATATTTTGGAGAATATTAAGAGTCAAAATATTATATTCCCTCAAAGGAGAAATGGAGGGAAAAAAATCTTAACAAAGACAGAAAGCAGCCCCAACAGCTTCCAGCAGATGTCTTGAAGGTGGATGTTTTGTGCCCATTAAGAAATCCAGGCCAGCCTATTCACAAACAAAACACCTTCAGCTCCAGTTGATGGGATTAAAATTTGCATTCCCCTCCCCCCCAAATTCTAAGGACAGGATTTTAAGGACCTTTTAGGACACAATGGATGGAAACTGATCAAGGAGCGATTCAACCTAGAAATAAGGAGAAATTTGCTAACGGTGAGAACAATTATCCAGTGGAACAGCTTGTTTTCAGAGGTTGTTGGTGCTTCATCCCTGGAGGTTTTTAAAAAGAGACTGGACAGTCACTTGTCTGAAATGCTACAGAGTCTCCTGCTTGAGCACGGGGCTAGACTAGAAGACCTCCAAGGTACCTTCCAGCTCTATTCTGATTAATTGATTGATTGATCTTGAAAGCTGCAGCCTTGAATTGGCTTGTGGGTGTAGCAGGAACAGATCAGTGGGTATGTTTTGTGGGGAGGAAGAAGATCCAGTTTGGTGTAGTGGTGAAGACACCAGGTTGGAGACAGAGAAACGCTCAGTTCCAGTCCCAGCTAAAGGGCAAAACCATCAGTTCAACTTTGGCCAGTCCTCTCAGCCCTTGGAAGCAGGAAAGGGGGGTAACCCCCTCCCAAAAACCCTTCCAAAGGAAACTGCAAGGCCAGGCATCAAGACTGACCCAAAGGCACCAAAGCGTCGCGTTTCACTATTTCACTTGATTCAGTTGCAAAGGTCGGTTGCTAGGAGTCGAAAAGGACCTGCTGCCACGTAATCAGTGAAAACCTCTTCCAAACGCTTTGGTGGACATCGGACAAAGCGTGTTTTTCCACCTCCTGTCGCTAGATGGCGATCAGGCAACGTCTGCGCCTAGAAATCATCTACACCGTGCTTGCGCTTGAAAAAGGAGTTTTAAACCATTGAGTACTGCATTGCTAGAAAGGCTGGGAGGAGAGGAGAGGCGCAGAGGAACTTCCTCTTCCGGATGACTGATGGGAGGAAGGTGGTGTGCAGAGCGGCTTTTGTGCTGTTTCCATGGTGGGAGCAGCAGCTGGCAGGTGAGTGGAGGGCAGCAGGTGGGAGGAGAGTCCGGGAGCAACTTGGGCTGGAAGCGGAGAAGCAACTGGGCTGAAGCCTCTCAGCTGCGGCTGCTGCAGGTTCCTTCCCTCCCCAAATGGAAGCCCACTGGTGCTGCAGGCTGGGAAACTGGGGGCTGCAATTTCTGCTGGTGGGAAGCTTGAAAAAGCCTCCTTCCAATGCAGGTTGGTTCTTTGGGAATGGCTTCCCTCCAGAGGTTGTGGCTGCTCCGTCCCTGGAGGGTTTTGAGGGGCGATTGGGCAGCCATTTGTTCTGGATGGAATAGGGTCTCCTGCCTGAACAAAGGATGGACTAGAAGACCTCCAAGGTTCCTCCCGATTCTGTTGTGGTGTTCTGTTCTGTTCTTTTGCAATGATATTTATTATGTCCTGATAAGTAAAACCATAGAAATGAAAGAGGTTGTACTTTTTTTTTTCACTGGATTGTATTTGAAAACAACCCTTTGCACTGCTAAGAATTCGTTGATTGACCCAGTCAACAAGTGAATTTGATCATTGAATGGGATATTTGAACATGGATCTGGGTAGTCTTCCATGTGTCAAATGAGTCATGATTAATATAAGAGATTATTGTAGTAATGTGTCATGTTTGCTTTTTCATTGTAATGTAAGCTTTTTTCTTTTTTTTCTTATGTTCTGCATCTATTTATGCACAATTAAAGATACATTTTTATTTGAATCTTATAGATAAAGAGGATGGCAATAAGAGCACTCTGGACAACTGGGGATAAGAAGCAACATTGAAAAGGAAAACAAATCAGTTCAGAAATTAAAAATATTTTCCATTTCCTTCAGAAAGCCACACAATTCTTCACCTTCCTCAGTGAGAGAGAAATGAGAAAAAATCAAGAAGAGATTTCTACCTGGAAAAAGCAGAGTATGCAAAAGTCAGGCAAATATTACATGAAAAGTGAAGGCCGATTATTTTTCCATTGAGCAAAAGAGGGAAGTCAGTGGGGAGGAAAAGATCAACTGGAAAGCCACGTAGAGCAGACAGTGTTGCAGGCCTCACTCTAGGAGGAAGAAAATCACCACTAAATCAAAGCACCATTAACAAGGGATCATCTATATTTTTGACCACCTCAAGAATATGAGTTGTGAAAAAATTCCATAGTTGTGCCTATTGTAGGAAAGATACAATTTGCAACTCATAGTGATTATGCCTGAGATGATCCAAACTGGAGAAAAGCCATACAAATACTCTGAATGTGGCAAAACCTTTGTTCATGGAAGGATCCACACACGGGAAAAGCCTTACAAGTGCTCCCAATGTGGTAAATGCTTTAGTGAGCATGGCAATGTGATGATACACCAGAGGACTCACACAAGAGGGAAACCCTTTGAATGTCCTGATTGCAGGAAAAGTTTCAGACGAAATTCTCACCTTGTTTCACACCAGAGCACTCACACAGGAGAGAAACTGTTTGAATGTCCTGTTTGTGGGAAAAGTTTCAATAGAAATTCCAATCTCATTAGTCACCAGAGGATTCACACAGGTGAGAAATCCTGTAAATGTCTTGAGTGTGGGAATAGTTTCAGTCGGAATTCTCACCTCATTGCACACCAGAGAACTCACACAGGAGAGAAACCGTTTGAATGTCCTGTTTGTGGGAAAAGTTTCAGTAAGAATTCCAGCCTGGTAATACACCAGAGAACTCACACAGGCGAGAAACCCTTTGAATGTCCTGATTGTGAGAAAAGTTTCAGTACCAATTCCAGCCTGGTTAGACACCAGAGGACTCACACAGGAGAGAAACCCTTTGAGTGTCCTGATTGTGAGAAACGTTTCAGTACCAATTCCAGCCTGGTCATACACCAGAGGACTCACACAGGAGAGAAACCCTTTGAATGTCCTGATTGTGGTAAAGGTTTCAGTAACAATTCCAACCTGGTGACACATCAGAGGACTCACACAGGAGAGAAACCATTTGAATGTGGTGATTGTGGGAAAAGTTTCATTAGAAATTCCTACCTCATTGGCCACCAGAGGACTCACACAGGCGAGAAACCCTTTGAATGTCTTTATTGTGAGAAAAGTTTCAGTACCAATTCCAGCCTGGTGATACACCAGAGGACTCACACAGGCGAGAAACCCTTTGAATGTCCTGATTGTGAGAAAAGTTTCAGTACCAATTCCAGCCTGGTGATACACCAGAGGACTCACACAGGAGAGAAACCATTTGAATGTCTCGATTGTGGTAAAAGTTTAAGTAAGAATTCCAGCCTAGTGATACACCAGAGGACTCACACAGGAGAGAAACCCTTTGAATGTTCTGATTGTGGGAAAAGTTTCATTAGAAATTCCAATCTCATTAGCCATCAGCGGATTCACACAGGAGAGAAACCCTTTGAATGTTCTGATTGTGGGAAAAGTTTCATTAGAAATTCCCACCTCATTAGCCACCAGAGGATTCACACAGGAGAGAAACCCTTTGAATGTTCTGATTGTGGAAAACGTTTCTCTCAGAGTTCCCAGCTCCTGAGACACCAGAGGATTCACACAAGAGAGAAACCCTTTAAATGTCCTGATTGTGGCAAAAGTTTCAGTCAGAATTCCTACCTGGTGACACACAGAAGGAATCACACAGAAGAGAAACCGTTTGAATGTGGTGATTGCGGGAAAAGTTTCATTAGAAATTCCTACCTCATTTGCCACCAGAGGATTCACACAGGAGAGAAACCCTTTGAATGTCCTGATTGTGGGAAAAGTTTCATTCAAAATTCTCATCTCGTTTCACACCAAAGTATTCATACAGGAGAGAAACCGTTTGAATGTCCTGACTGTGGGAAAAGTTTCAGTCAGAATTCAGACCTCATGAGACACCTGAGGTTTCACACAGGAGAGAAACCCTTTAAATGTCCTGATTGTGAGAAAAGTTTCAATCAGAATTCAGACCTCATGAGACACCAGAGGATTCACACAGGAGAGAAACCCTTTAAATGTCCTGATTGTGAAAAAAGTTTCAGTAACAATTCCAGGCTGGTGACACACCAGAGGATTCACACAGGAGAGAAACCCTTTGAATGTTCTGACTGTGGGAAAAGTTTCAGACAGAGTTCCCACCTTGTGATACACCAGAGGATTCACACAGGAAAGAAATCCTTTGGATGTCCTGATTGTGGGAAAAGTTTCAGTAACAACTCCAGGCTGGTGAAACACCAGGGGGTTCACACAGGAGAGAAACCCTTTGGATGTCCTGATTGTGGGAAAAGTTTCAGTAACAATTCCAGGCTGGTGACACATCAGAGGGTTCACACAGGAGAGAAACCCTTTGAATGTTCTGACTGTGGGAAAAGTTTCAGTCAGAGTTCCCACCTTGTGAGACACCAGAGGACTCACACAGGAGAAAAACTGTACGAGTGTCCAGACTGTGGGAAAGATCTCAGTAGTAGGTTTAATCTTATAAATCATGTGCTTATACACACAGGGGAGAAACCATTTGAGTGCCCTGAGTGTGATCGGTGCTTCAGGAAACATTCCACCCTCATTGCACACAAGAAAATCCACATGCAGCCCAAAGTGATAAGTATAGAGAAGGCCTGAATTTCATTTCTAATGTCCCTTTGTAAGTCCAGCTGAGAAACTGACTAATTTGATTACAAAGAATTTGCCTGATTTTTTGTAGGGAAATATGTCGTCGTATTAGATGGGAAGGGGGAAAGATAATAGTTATCTGGCCTTCAGTTTAAGAAGTTGCTGGATATTTATTTTTGCAGAAATTGTGCAATTATATAAAAATCTTTTTGGGAGTGTTGTATTTTTACCATGGTAAAATAGAAATGCCATATACAGAGTCCCAGCCTTTTTCTCCCTGGGTGCCTCCAAGGTTTTCAGCTCCAGAATTCCCCAGCCAGCATCTCTTGGGGATTGGAGCACTGCGACTATAGTTAAGAGAGTGTAGCTCCTCGTATAAGGAGAAAGCAAGAGAAGAAGTAGATGGGATTTCAACGTTCATCTTTTCCTAACTGTTCCAGGAATTCATTGCACCAAGCATGTCCGTTCAGATTGTGTCAAGAATGAGGCACGCAAGTGGAAGAAACCACATAAATAGCAAATATTTGGGGGGAGTTTGGGGCAGTGACAAAACCAGTGTAAAATTTCAGATGTAAAGGCTGTTCTGCCCTGCAGGTGATCTTCATGGAGAAGAGTTGTAGGAATATTGAGGGAAAAAAGGATTGTGGTTTTGAGCACATGACCTCCAGGTTTATTTGCAACTCCTGCTGTGATATCCTTTGCTTGCAGATGCCTCCTTGTTAGCCTTTGAGGGCTGGGGAGTGAGAGCAGCACCAAGGGACTGATAGGGTCCCCCCCCCCTTTGGGAGATGTAAGCAAAAAAATTGTACAGTAGGTATTTCATTTCTAAAATAGCATTGCTTAAGAATCATCAAGAAAGAAAAATAAAGGAAAGTGTCAGCATTTCTGTAAACATTGGGACAAGGTAACGCAAAGCTCTCTTCCCAACACATGGGAGACATTTCCCATTCTTTCACTTCTCTCCCAGGGCTCCTTAATGTTTTTTAAAAATTTCTTCAAATAAAGAGAGAAACATTATTTGTAGCAGCGGAAGTGACATTTTAGCTATGGAGACAAATGATCCTGATTTTGCTGGGATTGGAAGACAGCAAAGAATTCCAAAATTGTTTATTTCACCAACACAATTCAAAAACACAGGTTACAATGTTTTTTACTCGGTCGCATTGCATGTGATCTCTTTGCAGAAGGACACTCAGCAACCAGGAGCTGGTCAGGACTGGCGTGTGGTGGATCCAAGGGGCTCTTTCAGCCCAGGTCTCAAGCTCCTACTTTGAATTTAAACGTGTGAAATTTCAAAACTTTAAAATAGTAAATTTATATTTAATCAATTTTCCTTTCTTTCCTTGGTATCATTTTAGTGCACATGTTTATCATGTCTCATCTTATGGTTAGGAGTTACGGTGTCCCACAGTCATGGAATCGCCATTTGGAACCTTCACAATTGGTTTCCAACAAACAAAATTGACAGAAAGTTGCAAGTCACAGTAATGTTACATTGCACTAAATAGAACATGGTGATTCGCTTAATGACCACAGCTAGAACAGCTGTTGTAAATTGGCATGGTTATGTAGGAAGAAATATCCTTCTGGGTTCAGCTCCAAGTGGGGAAAAAGACACTGGAAACACGGAGACTCCTTGGAAAGATGGTTTAATGGTGGACGGGATCACATGGCTTGAGTTCCTGAACAGAAAAGGGGCCGAGATGCTGCGAGTCCCCAGGTTTTATGCCCTCTCTGGCTTTGAACTTCCTGGGGACCAGAAAGAGCATCCTGATTGGTTGTCAGACTCCCAGGGGGTGGGGGTTTTAGCTAGCCTTGCTGGCTGATGTAATCTTCCCAGGTGCCATGTGGTGAGTTTCTGTTGCTAGATGGGTCCTATTGTGTTAGTTTCTGTTGCTAGATGGGTCCTATTGTGTTGCAGATAATGGTCCATTGACAAAGATAGAGTTTCTGCCTGTGGCCCATTGACAAAGGGTGGGGGGGGGGAAGAAAGTAGGAGCTGCTTCATCTTTAAAACATGCTGCTCCATTTCTCATCCAGGGAAACATAATATTCTGCCTTTTTAATATTTCCTAAAATATTTCATTCTTCTAGGAAAGGGGTGGGTGCTAACTTCCTACAGTTAAGTGAGAAGGTATTTAATGATCACACCAGTCAGAAATGGACTTGTTGATCCCAATGGCTGTTGTTAAGTGAGGACTATGTTAATCAGGATGTCATCAGCATGGTTGTGCACAGTATTTTTTGCCTTTTTTCCTACAGGTAGTCCTCAACTTGCAATAGTTCATTTAGTCACCGCTCAACAGCACTGAAAAAAGTTATTCATGACTGTTTTTCACACAACCATTGCAGCCTCCCCATGGTCACAGGATCAAAATTCAGATGCTTGGAAATTGACTCATATTTATGACGGTTGCAGTGTCCCGGAGTCATGTGATTCTCTTTTCTGACCTTTTGACCAGCAAATTCAATAGGGAAGCCAGATTTGCTTAATAACCGTGTGACTAATTTAACAACGGCAGTGATTCACTTAACTGTGGCAAAAAAAAGTTGTAAAATGAAGCAAAACTCACTTAACAAATGTCTCACTTAGCAAGTGAAATTTTGGGCTCAATTATGAGTCGACTACCTATATTGGTGGTGCAGCAGACTAAAGTGCTGTTAAGTAACACCAGCTGCCTGCAATTACTGCAAGTTCAAATCTCACCAGGCTCAAGGTTGACTCAGCCTTCCATCCTTTCGAGGTAGGTAAAATGAAGACCCGGATTGTGGGGGCAATAAGCTGACTTTGTATAAAAAAGAACACCGCTTGGAGGGGGGGCGGCGAAAGCCCTATTAAGCAGGTATATACAAAAGTATGAAGGCTATTGCTTAACACATTGTAAGCCGCCCTGAGTCTCCAGAGAAAGGCGGCATATAAATTGAACCAATAAATAAATAAATAAATAAATTTTTTATTTGATTTATATGCTGCCCTTCTCCAGAGATTCAGGGCGGCTTACAATGTGCTCAGCAATAGCCTTCATCCTTTGTATATTTATACAAAGTCAGTTTATTGCCCCCACAACTGGGTCCTCAATTTACCTACCTTAGAAAAGATGAAAGGCTGAGTCAACCTTGAGCCTAGGCGAGATTCGAACCTGCAGTAATTGCAGGCAGCTGGTGTTAATAACCAGCTTAATAACGGTGCCTTAGACCACTGTACTACCAAGGCTCTTTACATAAGTATCAGAGTTGGAAGGGACATTAGAGGTCTTCTAGTCCAACCCCTCCTGCTCAAGGCAGGAAATCCTATATCATTTCAGACAAGTCCTTTAATCTTGCCGAAGCTCTTGGGATCATTTCATCAATTAACACGCCCCCCCCTCCTTAGATCAAAAAGTGTGAGTTTATAGTAAAAAGTAATCACACCCCTGTCCCAGGAGAATGAAATATTTGGGGGAATATTAAAAGAGGCAGAATATTATATTTCCCCAAAGGAGAAATGGAGAAAAAAAATCTTAACAAAGGCAGAAAGCAACCCCAACAGCTTCCATCAGATGCCTGAAGTCTTTTAGAGATGGAGATTTTATGCCCACTAAGAAATCCAGGCCAGCCTATTCACAAACAAAACACCTTCAGCTCCAGTTTATGGGTTTAAAATTTGCATTCCCCCACCCAAATTATAAGGACAGGTGGTGACCTTTTTGGACATAATAGGATTAATCCACCACTATTGAAATAGCAAAAGACACAAAACCTCTTCATTGCACAATCCCGACTTCAAAGTCACAGAAACTTATAAAGATCCATCCGCTCATTCAGCTATTTTGTCAGCTTTCCCAGAACGTCATGCTGTTTTGCTCGTCAATAAATGGAATCTTTCTTTTCAATCAGCCTCCATTTTATTTCCAGCTTCTTTCTCCCGGCTGGGAACCGGACCAGATTTTTCTTCCAACAGTAGCTACATATATGTGTATACATATTATTTCTCTCCAGGAGTTACTCGCCCCTTTTGTTCAACATTTATGTAAAGCCGCTGGGCGAGATCATCTGTGGTTTCGGGGTGAAGTACCACCAGTACGCTGATGACACTCCGCTGTACATCTCCACCCCGGACCACCCCAACAATGCCCTTGAAGTGATGTCCCGGTGTCTGGAGGCCGTGCGGATCTGGATGGGGAGGAACAGGCTCAGGCTCAACCCATCCAAGACCGAGTGGCTGTGGTTTCCGACGTCCTGATATAGTCAGTTGACGCCATCGCTGACTATTGGGGGCGAATCGCTGGCCCCCATGGAGAGGGCTCACAATTTGGGCATCCTCCTGGATTCACGGCTGTCTTTAGAAGAGCACTTGACGGCCGTGACCGGGAGGATTTTTCATCAGGTTCGCCTGATTCGCCAGTTGTGTCCCTTTCTGGATCGGGACTCCCTACACACAGTCACTCATGCCCTCGTCACTTCCCGCCTGGACTACTGTAATGCTGTCTACATGGGGCTCCCCTTGAGGAGCACCCAGAGGCTCCAACTGGCGCAGAGTGCGGCCGCGCGGGTGGTTATGGGAGCAACATGGTGCTCCCGTATGACACCTCTCCTGCGTGAACTGCACTGGCTCCCAGTGGTCTTCCGGGTGCTTCAAGGTTTTGGTCACCACCTTTAGAGCACTCCATGGCTTAGGACCTGGTTATTTACGGGACTGCCTACTACCACAAGCAGCCTCCCACCGGCTGGTATGCTCTCATAGAGAGGGGCTCCTCCGGGTGCCGTCAGCCAAACAATGTCGACTGGCAGCCCCCAGGGGGAGGGCCTTCTCTGTGGGGGCACCCACTATCTGGAACGAGCTCCCCCCAGAGATACGGAGGATCCCAGATCTGCGCACTTTCCGCCGTGCTTTTAAGACTCTCCTATTCCAGCAAGCCGGCCTAGCCTAATTTTCTCCCCTGTTTTAAAATTCTTATAAATCAAAATTTTTAATCTGTTTTAAATTATTGGGATTTTTAATTGTCTCGGGCTAAATTATTTAATCTGGTTTTAATTATGTTTCTAACTTTTGTATCTATGTATTTTATTTTGTGCCTGTTCACCGCCCTGAGTCCTTCGGGAGTAGGGCGGTATATAAATTTAATATAAATAAATAAATAAATAAATAAAAATATACTGTATTTGATGATACATAATTCTACCAGTAAAAAGGGGAATCTGCTTGCTTTTTGGATGCAACATTGAAAAATGAAAACCTTTAAAATGGGAAGAAAGCTAGGAAACGGATCCTCCTCCTCAGACCAAGGCATTCCCCGTAGGAATGGCCATTCCCTGTGGCCAAAAATCAGAAGGTATCAAATTGTTGCTTTGCAGACTTAAAGACATTTTGTGAAAAGGCTTTTGCAGGAGCTGCACCTATTAACACAAGGGGTTAGACAAGGCGCTACCAGATTCCCGCTGACATGCTTATCAGGTTAGATGTTAAGGAAAAGACAGCATCCCCAGCCAGGAATTGCTTGGCTGAAGGATGATGGGCCTTGCAGTCCAATATCTGCAGGTGGGCCTTGCCCCTCTTCAACATCAGTGCGTTGCTAATTTGCACCTATTGTAGCTGTGGATTTGCACATGTAAGTGTCTTTTACTATTGCAGTGATTTTCTGTCCCATTTTTTATAATCACTGTGTGTCTGCTTTCCATCGTTTGGCTTTTCTTGGTGGTGATATGGGTAAGCCTCTCTGGCGGGGTCCGGTTGGAGGACTTTGACGTTGCCTGGCGGCGCCCCAGTCGCCCCCCTCCCCGCAGTGGCTGCAGCAAAGGGCTTAAAGTGCAGAGAGCTTTCCTCTTGCGCCCAGAGAGGAGATAGGAAAGGGGGCTGGGAGCCCAGTTTCAAGCCCCTCCCGTTCTTTTCCCAGGCTATGCTGCGAAGATCCTCTTGCGGGGAGGGGCGCTATGTGGGCTACGATGCTGCAAGAGAGGGATTGGACCAGGGGGCGGGCGGGTCAAACAAAAGGAGGGGGAGGATGATCTAGGACCGTGATGTCGAACCTATGGCACGCATGCCACCTGTGGCACACGGAGCCATGTCGCCTGGCACGCCAGCTCAGCTCTCTCTAGGAGTCTCGAGGCTGGGGACAGCAAAAAACGTTATTTCCTGTCCAACCAAAAGTTGGAAAACGGATCGTTGAGGGCCTCCGAAGGGGGTGGGGAAGGCTGTTTTCGCCCTTCCCAGATGCATAGAGAGGATCTGGAGCCAGTTGAGAAAGAAAAACGGGCCTACTGGGCCATCACGTGCCAGGAGTGGGGGGTCACGCGAGGATGTGCAGGGCAGGGCGCATAGAATTATGGGTGTGGGCATGTGCACGAACCTCCCCCGCCCCCCCTCTTTCTGGCACGCGATGGCAAAAAGGTTAGCCATCACTGATCTAGGACAGGGGTCTCCAACCTTGGCAACTTTAAGCCTGGCGGACTTCAACTCCCAGAATTCCCCAGCCAGCAAAGCTGCCAGGCTTAAAGTTGCCAAGGTTGGAGACCCCTGCTCTAGGAGAAGAGCCAATTCCTTAAGAGCAGGGATAGGGAACGATGCTGCCCCCCACCCTTTATGACTTGTGGACTTCAGCTCCCAGAATTCCTGAGCCAGCATGGAAGAATTGAAGACTGCAGCTTGGAAGAGCAGACCAAGGGATCAACTGCAGAAGAACACGCTTATCACTTTGGTTTTTTTTTTTCCGAAACTGGATGTAATAAGAAAATCTGTGGACTTCCAACTCCCAGAATTCCCCACCCACAGGTCCACAAGCATGGCTGGCTGGGGAATTCTGGGAATTGAAGTCCCCAAGTTTGGAGACTCTTGGTGTAAGATATGTGTGCTGCAGACTTATTTTATTTTGATTTATATACCACCCTTCTCCGGAGACTCAGGGCGGCTTTACAATGCGCTAAGCAATAGCCTTCATCCTTTTGTATATTTATACAAAGTCAGCTAATTGCCCCCACAACTGGGTCCTCAATTTACCTACCTTAGAAAGGATGGAAGGCTGAGTCAACCTTGAGCCTGGCGTGATTCGAATCTGCAGTAATTGCAGGCAGCTGGTCTTAATAACAGGGTGCTTTAGACCACTGTACTACCAAGGCTCTGTGTGGGAGATGTTTTCCCCGCCCATCTCTTTAATAATGGAGTTTGCATATCTTTCAATGCCATTTTCTTTATTCTCTGCACTGGGGGCCTCTGGGCATAGGATAGGGTGGATATAGTGCTGGGGCTAGGAGCAGGGAGAGATAGTTTGTGTTCTCCAATCAGTCATGGAAAGTCCCCAGTGATTATCCATACAGACCATAGAGTTACATTCACTAGCAACCCTCTGAGCTGTCCCTGCGCTCAAATACTTGTATAGAGTGCTTAAAGTCTTGTAAGTAAAGGTTGACAAGCTGAATTGGGCCCGAGTGGGCACAGGAGGAAGAATCGGACAGGGATTTCTGGACCAGCGGGTCAAAGTGTTTACATTCCCTGACATTACATTCAGCATAGTTGCCAAGCTGAACTTGTAGTCAGGGATAAATAATGAGGTCTACCAAATAGGATTATCAAAAATATTCCAACAATGCTGTACTCTATAGCAGGGATGGGCAACTGTGGCCCTTTTACAACCTGTGGACTTCAACTCCCAGAATTCCTGAGACAGCTTGGCTGTCTCAGGAATTCTGGGAGTTGAAGTCCACAGGTTGTGAAAGGGCCACAGTTGCCCACCCCTGCTCTATAGGGTGCTTGCCTGTTTCTCTATCTTTCTAATGTAGTGGGCCAACGGTATATAAGCTGCGGTTCTGCTTTAGGTCAGGGCTGTTCAGAAAGCTGCCAATGCTTTGGTGGAATCCAGCGTGAACAGTGATTGTTTGCATGCTTAATATATGTTGAATCTTGCAAGTGATATGGTTGCTTTACATGAGGCAGGTTTTGGCCCCAAAATTGTCCTGTATGCTTCTCCCTTTTCTCTCTCTTCCTTCCCCTTTGACTGCCAGGGAGTAGTCAGGTTGTTCTTGCCGAGATGTTTGCGATGTCTGCAGCGCTGTGTGTGTGATAAACACACTGAAGGAAATGACAGTTCACGTGTTGCTGTCAAGAAACCAGCAATGATTAATCCTTTAAATCACCAGGCATTGAGTGCCATTCCAAAGAGACTTGGGTTAACTTTTTCTGCAGCGTAATTGCTGTCCTTCTAACTTGCTTGTTGTTCTGGGAGGCTCCCGCCATCAACAGTGTTTCCTCAGAGAAGTCACAGACCTTCCCTGAGGGAACATACAGCAGGAGGAGGAGGAAGACAACTTTTGACTCCACTCCAAGAGGCTTGGTGGGTCCCTACCAACTACTACATGTGTGTGTTCTCCTGTTGTATAGGATATGAGAAATAACACAGATTTTACGCATTTCAACCTGAGCTTCAATGTTTGATTCTGAGGAAATGGACTGTTCCTGTGATTGGGAACTCATCCTGTGTCAAACTCATGTCACGGCAGCATCACGAGACATATCTGGACTTTCCCCCCTTCACTAAATGGGGCGTGGGTGTAGCCAGCGATGATGCATCCAGCCCATGGGCCAGCCCTGCTGCATACCATCCCCCCTGACTCTTAGGTTGGCTTTAATTTTATCTTATATTTTTACATAGTCCTGTAAGAGATTCAGAAGCTTTGGGATCATTGCAAGGGTTTCCAATTCCTAATCATGAGACACAATAAAGATGAGCACTAAAATATGACACCAAGGAAAGAGAGGAAGGAAAATTGATTAAATATAAATTTACTATTTTGAAGTTTAGAAATTTTGCACATTAAATTCAAAGTCACTTGGAGGTTGAGACTCGGGCCAAGAGAGCCTCTTGGTTCCTCCAGACACCAGTCCTGATCTGCTCCTGATCCTTCTGCAAAGGGATCACATGCAATGTGACTCACTAAAAAAATTGTAACCTGTCTTTTTGAACTGTGTTACAGAAATGAACAAATGTGGAATTCTTTGGTGTCTTCCAATCCCAGCAAAATCAGGATCATTAATCTGCATTGCTAAAATGTCACTTTTGCCGCTACAAAAAAAGTTCCTCTCTTTATTTGAATGAATTTTTGAAAAAAATTAAGGAGCCCTGGGAGAAAAGTGAAAGAACAGAAAATATCTCACATGTGTTGGGAACACGTTTGTCCCAGTGTTTACAGAAATGCTGACACCTGCCTTTATTTGTCTTTCTCAAAAGCTATTCATGATTCTTACACAATGCTCTTTTAGCAATGAAACGTCTACTGTACAATTTTTTTCTCACATTTCCTCAAGTGGGGGGAACCACAAAAGTATCAGCCCCTTGGTTCTGCTCTCACCCACCAGCCATCAAAGGTTAACAAGGAGGCACTTGCAAGCAAAGATCAAAGCAGGAGTTGCGAATAAACCTGGAGATCTTATGCTCAAAACCACAATCCCTTTTCTCCTCAACTCAATATTCCTCCAGCTCTTCTCCATTGAAGCCACCTGCAGGGCAGAATAGTCTTTATATTTGAAATTTTACACTGGTTTTGTCACTGCCACAAATTCCCCCAATATATTTGATATTCTTCGACTTGGGTACCTCATTGACATAATCTGAACAGACATGCTTGGTGCAATGAATTCCTGGAACAATTAGAAAAAGATGAACTTTGAAACTGCTTTGCTTCTTCTCTGGCTTTCTCATTATATGAGGAGCCGCAATCTCTAACTATAATCTGTGTTAGAGTGTTCCTACCTTGAAGAGATGCTGGTTGGAAAATTCTGTGGCTCAAAACCTTGAGGACACTCAGGTAGAAGAACCCTGGGACTCTGCAAGTGACATTTCTGTAATCTATCATGATAAAAATGAAAAGAAGGCCGCTAAAAATTTTTTTGCAGAATTGTACAATTTCTGCAAAAATAAATATCCAGCAACATTTGCTGCTAACGGCCAGGTAGCCATTCTCAAATTTCTCCCCTCCTTCACGTCTAATACTATGACATATTTAACTAAAAAGAATCAGGCCAGAAAGTAAATAGTCAATTTCTCAGCTGGATTTACAATGGGACATTAGAAAGGAAATTCAAGCCTTCTCTACATTCATCACTTTGGGCCTCTTGTGGATTTTCTTGTGTGCAATAAGGGTGGAATGTTTCCGGAAGCACTGTCCACAGTCAGGGCACTTAAATGGTTTCTCCCCTGTGTGTATACGCACATGATTTATAAGGTTAGACCTAGTACTGAAATCTTTCCCACAGTCTGGACACTCGTATGGTTTCTCTCCTGTGTGAGTCCTCTGATGTATCACCAGCTCAGAGTTCCGAAGGAAACATTTCCAACAATCTGGACACTCATACAGTTTCTTCCCTGTGTGAATCTTCTGGTGTATCACCAGGTGGGAATTCAGACAGAAACCTTCTCCACAATCTGGGCATTCATAAACTTTGTCTGCTGTGTGACTCCTCTGGTGTCTCACCAGGCTGGAATTCTGACTAAAACATTTTCCACAGTCTAGACACTCATAAGGTTTCTCTCCTGAGTGAGTTCTCTGATGTATCACCAGGGAGGAATTCTGACTGAAACCTTTCCCACACTCCAGACACTTATATGGTTTCTCTCCTGTGTGAATCTTCTGGTGTATTAGCAGGTAAGAATTCCGACTGAAACTTTTCCCACAAATCAGGCACTCATATGGTTTCTCTCCTGTGTGTGTTGCATGGTGTCTCACCAGATCGGAATTCCGAATGAAACTTTTTTCACAATCTGGACACTCATATGGTTTCTCTCCTGAATGAGTCCGCTGGTGTACCACCAAGTGCGAATTCCAATTGAAACTTTTCCCACAATCTGGACAAACATATGGTTTCACTCCTGTGTGAGTCCGCTGATGTACCACCAAGTGCGAATTCCAATTGAAATTTTTCCCACAAACTGGGCACTCATATGGTTTCTCTCCTGTGTGAGTCCTCTGATGTATCACTAGGTCAAAATTCTGACTGAAACATTTTCCACAATCCAAACACTCATATGGTTTCTCTCCTGTGTGTGTCCTCTGGTGTATCACCAGGTCGCAATTCCGAATGAAACATTTCGAACAATCTGGACACTCGTATGGTTTCTCGCCTGTGTGAATCTTCTGGTGTATCATCAGGTGGGAATTCTGACGGAAACCTTTCCCACATTCTGGACATTCATATGGTTTGTCTCCTGTATGTGTCCACTGGTGTATCATCAGGCTGGAATTCTGACTGAAAGTTTTCCCACAAACTGGACACTCATACATGGTGTATTATCAATTGTGATTTACTATCCATGCTTTCCCCACAATATGTACATGTATGTTTTTCCACCACTGGCATTCTTGAATTCTCCAGGAAGTTAAACATTCTTTGGATCCCTTGTTAGATGGGAGTTTTGACTCAAGCTACTGTTTCCTTCCACATAGGTGAGGCTTGCAGTGCTATCTGCCCTACATGGCTATCCAAGTGATTTTTTCCTTCCCGCTGATGTCCCATGGTTTTTGAATTTGGAAACTAGTGAAGAAAAGTCTCTGGTTTTCTGGAGAAAATAGAAATTATTTTGATTGTTGGCTTTATTTGCTTTCCTTTTCAATGCTGCTTGTTATTTTCGGTTGTCCAGAGTGCTCTGATTGCTATTCTCTTTGTCTATAAGATTCAAATAAGAGGATTAGTTTAATTATGGTTTATAAAACGGTTAGTCAACATAATAAAAATGAAAAAAGCATAAATTATTATTAAGAAGCAAACATTACAAAATGTTAATAAAACCCCTTACATTACTTAAGGTTCATTTTCTGTCTATAAGTCTAGTGAGACCCAATGTTCAAATATCCACTGAGTCATGAGATTCATTTGTTGACTAGGGTCATTCACACATTTCTAGACATGCAATGGTTTCTTTCAAAATATATTTGATCTAATTTTAGAAAGGCTTTAAGCCCTCCGATGACATCACAATGTACATTGCCCTCAGTTACTGACCACCACAACTACCCACAGGCAACTTCTAAACAGTGCGTTCATTAAGCATGATGTCACATGACAGTGCCTATTTGCAACATCAGTTCTAGCTGCGATCATTAAGCAAATCTCCATGGGTTGTTATGTGCAACGTAATATGACTTGCAACTTTATTTTAGTTTCCCAATTGGCTTTGTTTGTAGGAAGCCAACTGTGAAGGTCCCAGTTGTGGCAATTCCATGACTGTGGGATACCACAACTCTCGTAACTGCAAGCACCCAAATAATTGCAGTGGCCACAACTTTTGAGGACTTGTAAATCTCCTTGTTCAGTGCTGCTGTTATCTCTAAAGGGTCAGTGAAAAAAAAAATAGTAAACTAGGACTATGTACACAACTGAAAAATCCAAATGGTGTTCAAAAGCTATTTTTTAAAAAGTGCTGGGTTAAGCACATCTGGATTTCCGAGGGGTGCCCCATATTTTTTTTAAAATTTGATTTATATGCCGCCCTTCTCCGGAGACTCAGGGCAGCTTACAATGCGTTAAGCAATAGCTTTCATACTTTTGTATATTTATACAAAGTCAGCTTATTGCCCCCACAAACTGGGTCCTCAATTTACCTACCTTAGAAAGGATGGAAGGCTGAGTCAACCTTGAGCCTGGTGAGATTCGAACTTACAGTAATTGCAGACAGCTGATGTTAATCACAATGCTATCAGTCTGCTGAGCCACCAGGCGTATTCACCAGGTTCAGATGTGCATGGAAGTAAGGAAAAAAAAAAACCCAGAAGAGAGCAATAAGTAGATCAGCCTCATATTGTTGCCAAGAAAACCACCTCCCTAAAACCACCAGGAGTCAAACCTAACTCGAAGGAGACTTTGTAAATCTTCCAACCACCAGAAAATTGCAGGCGCCACTTTTAAAGCGTGCAGTCCCAGTGGAGTAGGATTTATTTGATTTATAACATATGCAGCAGCCGACGATTTTCAGCCTAGTTGCTTCTCTGTTTCTACACCGTGGAGGAAACCAAACAGCCCGATTTGCGCCTGATTTCTGCTCCGATTCTTCCACTCACCTTCCAGCAGCCGCTTCGACCCTGGGAAGAGCACGAGAGCCCCCAACACCGCCACCATACTCACATTGCAGAGCCGGAAGAGGTCCTTCTACCCTCTTTCTCGTCTTCTCCGACGTCCTCTCTACCAAATTAATACTCTACGGTTTCCACTCCTTTTAGTTATCGATGCCGCCTCTGCGCTGACACGGTTCCCCCCCCCCCACTCCCCACCGCCAGCCTTGCTGACCTAGAGGTCGCCCTCTAGCGACAGAAAGCGTTTTCTCTGTTTGTTTTGTATTTATATTAGATTTTAAAATTCTAATTTTTTTTTTTAAAAAAGGAATGTATCAATCAAAGAGTGAGGCGACTTTTATACAGTTTTGCGTGCACATCTGTATTACCAACCTTTTTACAACGTTTTGAAGTGCTTTTTTGTTGTGGAGGTTAATAAATCAATGAACCATGAACCTTTATCTTTATTTATTTATTTATTTATTTATTTATTTCCAATTTATATACCGCCTTTCTCCCTGAGGACTCAGGGCGGTGTACAGCCAAAATTAAGAACATGAAATACAAATATTAAAAACAATTAAAATATATATAAATTTGGCCCAAAAATTAAAAATCACAAATCAATTAAAACATTTAAAAATTTCTTCTTAAGCCAGCCCGGCTTGCTGGAAAAAGTGGGTTTTAAGGGCACGACGGAAGGCACTGAGGTCTTGAAATTCTACTTAAACAAATGAGCCTCTGAAGCAGTTAACAGTAAATGTTTTTATTTACATAATAAAAACATAATATATATTCAATTGATAAATAGCACTTAGTTACTATGATAAATTATACTGTCAGCTATCTATCTATCTATCTATCTATCTATCTATCTATCTATCTATCTATCTATCTATCTATCTATCTATCTATCTATCTATCTATCTATTCTCTCTAAGCTATGTTATCTATGACTCTTCTTCCTCAGAAGAAATATTATATACCACGGAATTGCTCTTCTAACAGACTTCCAAACTGCTCAAAGTTATCTAACGGAAGATCCTAGAAGACAATACAATACTAGACAGAAGAGCAAACTGAAGAGTAAACTGAAGAGAATCTCCTTTTATACTGCTAACTGTGACAGTTAGGGGAGGGCCCTGGAGATTCAAATATATTAGCTGCCCTCTGATTGGCTAATGTATCTGTACATTCCAAAAGCCATTAATAGGCACAGCTATAGAGAAATAAATTTTCTCTAACATTTTTCGAAACATTTCTCTTACCATATTTAGAAAGAGTCACCGGCTCTTTCTAAGCTGCTTCTCTCTTGGGTTTGCTGCGTATGTGTCTCTCTGTTTGACTTAAGAAATACTTCTTTTTCAAGGGAATTTATAGACGCACATGACATTTAGCATTTAACAGACTTAAAATCTCCCCCAGGAGCAAATCTGGGCTTGTTAGGAACATCAGCTTTAAGACATATAACCCTAACCACACTATTAAAAAGATGTTGAGACTCTAGAAAGAGTGCAGATAAGAGCAACCAAGATGATTAGGGGACTGGAGGCTAAAGCATATAAAGAACGGTTGCAGGAACTGGGCATGGCTAGTCTAGTGAAGAGAAGGACCAGGGGAGACATGATAGCAGCATTCCAATATTTCAGGGGCTGCCACAGAGATGAGGGAGGTCAACCTATTTTCCAAAGCACCTGAAGGCCAGACAAGGAATAACGGATGGAAACTGAACAAGGAGAGATTCAACCTGGAAATAAGGTGAAATTTTCTGACAGTGGGAACAATCAACCAATGGAACAGAAGTTGCCTTCGGAAGTTGTGGGAGCTTCATCATCAGAAGCTTTCAAGAAGACACTGGACTGCCATCTGTCAAAAATGGTATAGGGTCTGCCTGGGGTGTTGTTTGGACTAAATGACCTACAAAGGTTCCTTCCAACTCTGTTAATCTAAATCTATCTATCAATAGATTGATAGATACATAATCGTTTAGCCACTGTCTATCCACTGCAGGATGAAAGCCTCTTTTGCATGTTTCTCCCTCTCTCCCTCTCCCCCACCCCCAAATATAGAATTTTTTAAGTTTAAGGTCATATTTTGCAATGGTAGAATTACAAAGTTATGAGCATCATGATGGTGCTTCTCCAAAAGCTTGTGTTTGTGACACAATGAACTGTAAACAGGAACTTTAATGTAAACTACATTAGTAACAGAAAAAAGATGCTAAGAAATCAGATAATGGCTGTTTCAAATCTGGTTCAGTGCTAAATATGTTGCTGTCAATCAAACAAAAAATAAGCATTGTTCTGAACCTCTTAATTTTTGCCTCTTCTTCCCATCTGAAATTTCTGAAAATTAGTGCAGTTAGAGATAGAGAAAATGTTCCCATGTGAAATTTTCACCTCCTTATTCCTGATCTCAGTTTGTAAAGGCTTAGGGCCGGGGTACTTACGAGACCGCCTTCTGCCACCAATAGCCTCCCACCGGCCAGTACGCTCCCACAGAGTGGGCCTCCTCAGGGTGCCGTCCGCCAGACAATGTCGGCTGGCGACCCCCAGGGGGAGAGCCTTCTCTGTGGCGGCGCCCACCCTCTGGAACAACCTCCCCCCAGAGCTACGTACAATAACAGACCTCCGGATTTTTCGTCGGGCCCTAAAAACCCATTTATTTCAATTAGCTGGGCTGGCTTGAGTCAAATTTTAAACGGATTTTAAATTGGAATGTTTTAATTACGGCCAAAATTATTTAATTATTTTAAACAGATTTTAGATTTTGTATGTTTTGTATGTATGTCTTGTTTTTACTTTGGCTGTTCACCGCCCTGAGTCCTACATTGGAGAAGGGCGGTATAGAAATTTAAACAAATAAATAAATAAATAAATAAATAAAGTAAAGGGCGTTGTATGAAGTTCACTCAGTTAGATTGGCAATATGATACAGCACTATTGTGTAGTCCTATCACACCTGTGCCTAGTTTCCTTTCATCTTTGGGGATACCTAATTCCACCAGTAGAAAAAGAGAATCAACTTGTTTCTTGGGCACTGCATATTGAAAGGTTAAAAACCCTTAAAGCAGGAGAAGAAAGCTAGGAAATGGATCCTCCTACTCAGAACAAGAGACCCTGTGAGTCTACGGTGACCCCAAAAAATTAGAAGGCCTCGAATTGCTCCTTTGCAGACTAAGAAACTTTGTGAAATGGCTTGCAGGAGCTGCGCTTATTAATACAATGGGTTAGAAAAGGCGCCGCCAGATTCCTCCTGACATGCTTTATAAGGTTAGGTATTGAGGAAATGGCAGCATCACCAGCCAAGAATTGCATGGCTGAAGGATGATGGGCCTTGTAGTCCAATGATATATGCAGGTCTGCCTCGCCACTTCTTCAGCATCAATGCCTTCCTGCTTTGCACCTCTTGCATCTGTGGATTAGCGCATGCAAGTTTCTTTTACTATTGCAGTGATTGTCAGCCTCTCTTTTTTAAAAGAGTGCTTGCTATCCATCCTTTGGCTTTTCTTGGGGGGGTGATATTGGTGAGCCTTTCTGGTGTGGTCCCAGCTGGAAGAGTTTGGCATTGCTCGGAAGCGCCCCAGTCGCCCCCCCCCTGCAACAGCTTCAGCGAAGGGGTTAAACGCAGAGAGCTTTCCTCTTGCGCCTAGAGAGGAAATTGGGGGGGAAAGGGGGGTTGGGAGCCCAGTTTCCTGCCCATCCCGCGCTACCACCACCCCCCTTTCCTGGTCTCCAGACATCCCTTACCCCAGGGCTGCAGAGATCCCTTCGTGGGGAGGGGCGCTCAAGAGGCGCCAGGTGGGCAAATTGGACCAGGAGAGGGAGGAGGGAGAGGAGAGGGAAGGAGGAGGAGGAGGAGGGGGCATCCCCAGGTGCAGGAAGGGAGGGGGAAAAGCGTGGAGGTGGCCTTTTTATAGGGTCCCCTTCCCTTCTGAATTCTCCCGTCTTTACTTGCAGGCACTGAGCCTCCGCTAGACTCTGATTCCCCTTGAAATCCTTCCTTCCAAGTCTCCTTCCTTCCACTCAGCCCAACATCTTGGTGCAGCACAGCTCCCACAGTTTCCTAGTGTTGCCTTTCCCCACGTTCCCCGGCTGCTGGGGGTGGGGGGGAGAGGAGAGAGGATCGGGTCCCCAAAGTAAGTCTGGAGGGATAGAAGAGGTGGAAGACTTGGGGAGACCTGAGTTCAGAGGGAAGGTGGCTGAAGGGGCTCCGTCCGAAGTTATGAACCGTGCTAGGAGGAGCCCAGTGGCATCTGAAAGGTTGGTGAGAGGTGAGAGGTTTGTTTTGAGATACAGCATCTGAATCTGCCTCTCTTAAGATGCCCAGATTCCCTTTCTGGTGACTGCTGCCTCCCTCTTTATCTCTGCCCCACTAACCGAACATCTGGGTGGAACTTTTCAATTTTACTTTTACCAGGTAGTCCTCAACACTACAATTGAGCCCAAAATTTCTGTTGCTGAGTCAGACATTGGTTAAGTGAGTTTTGCCCCATTTTACAATTTTTCTTGCCCCAGTAGTTAAGTGAATCACTGCAGTTGTTAAGCTTAGTAACATGGTTGTGAAGTGAATCTGGCTTTCCCATTGACTTTGCTTGTCAGAAAGTCACAGAAGAGGACCACATGACTGCGGGATACTGCAACTGTCATAAATATGATTCAGTTGCCAAGTAGCTGAATTTTGATCACGTGACCATGGGGATACGGCAGTGGTCGTAAGTTTGAAAAACGGTCATAAGTCCCTTTTTTCAGTGCTATTGTAACTTCGAACAGTCACTAAATGAACTGTTGTAAATCAAGGACTACCTGTATTTCTTTTATGGACGGTGTAATTTGCGCTGGAGAAGAAACATCCTGCCATTTTTACAACCACTAAAATATGGAGAACTTTCCGACAGCTTTAAAAAGAAAGGACTCATGCAGCCAGGTTTTACTCCAGATGGCATCTGGATTGCTTTCTTGCTGGTGTCATCTTCTGAAATTTGTTTTGACTTCCTGATTTAATGTATGGTTTCAAGATTTCATAGCCATCTATATGTGCCATCTAAACTTTACTTTACTAAACTAAACGTCCCTGTTTAATTTCCCAAGGCCTGTGAAATGTTGAGCAGTATTTTAACAGGGTAAATTTTAAAGCAGCAATCAAATTAAATGCACTGTAAAGTCAGGGCAGTTTCAGGAGGGAATTCTCAGAATCGGTGGGGCTTTCTGCATGCAGAGGCAAAAACCTATTTCAGATATTAAAAGCTGACTTTTTCCCCACTTCAGAGATTAACATTATGTCTTTATTGGTTTGATTTATATTCCTGTTTTGTACGCACAGGACATCACAGCAGCTTGAATGGATTTCTGCAGAAAGTTCCCCATCCAATAAAATAGCTGAATATTGATTTTACCCTATAAAATAATGCTTGTAGAAAATTAAGTGGACCCAGATCATCAAGAAGCACTGGAGAGAAACAGACCTTTATGGATCCTTGGCTTCCCTTTTGTGCATAAGTAATTATGACAATTTCTATTCCTGCCAGGAAGAAAGATGGAGGTACAGGACTCGACAGGATGTCAGGCAGGAAAGAGAGAGCCAGCGAGGGGAAGTGTTCAAACTATGGCAACACAGGAATATCTGAAGGGTTTCACTACATCTCAGATTAAAGAAGAACCAGAAGAGGGGCTGGACCGATTGTGTGAGATCCAGAAAAGAGAAACTCTGAGGGCTCCATATTTGGATGGAAGAAACTCTCCACCTTCTCAGTCCTCACCAGAGAATAACACTAGGCCGCCTTTTAGCAGAAAGGCCGATCTCCATCAATGGTCCCTCAGAGGAAAAGCTGCATCCGAAACCTTGCCAGGCCTGGGCTGCATGGAAGTTCCCAAATTTTACGAAGGCCTGGATTCCCCACTGGAAGTGAAGGAAGAGTTGGTGGAGGAGGGCAAGCTTAGTGTGGTGCTACAATGCCAACGCTTCCGGCAGTTTTGCTATGAGGAAGCTGAAGGGCCTCAGAAAGTGTTTGGTCAACTCTGGGACCTTTGCTGCCAGTGGCTGAAGCCGGAGCGTCACTCTAAGGAGCAAATCCTGGAGCTGGTGATCTTGGAGCAGTTCCTGATGATCCTGCCGCTGGAAATGCAGAACTGGGTTCGGGAACAGTGTCCGGAGACGGGGAGCCAGGCGGTGGCTTTGGCCGAAGACTTTCTTTGGAGGCTGCCACAAGGAGCTGAGCAGAGGGTGAGCATGGAACCTTGTCATGTTGGGCACCCTTGTAGAGCTCAGCTTACGGCCACAATTGAACCCCAAATTAAGTGAGACATTTGTTAAGTGAATTTTTGCCCCCATTTTGCAACTTTTCTTGTTGTTAAGTGAATCATTGCGGCTGTTAAGTTAGTAACATGTTTGTTGAGTGAATCTGACTTCCCTGTTGACTTTGCTTGTTAGAAGATGGCAAAAGAGGATCACTTGGTCCCAGTGATGTCATAAATATGAGTCGGTTGTCATGGTTTCTGAATTTGATCACGTGACTGTTGGAATGGCGCAACGGTCATAAATGTAAAAAATGGTCATAAGTTACTTCTTTCAGTGCTGTTGTAACTTCAAACGGTCACTAAGTGAATGGTTGTAAGTCGAGGACTACCTATAGCCTGCCAAGGGAGTGTTTTTAATGACAAAAAACTCAGGAGGAATCTGATGTTGTGTTTCCATGTAACCCTTTTTATTAAAAGACATCGGGTTTTGTGAACGGCAGCTCATTATCGGATGCTCGGCATGGCTAAATTTTAATTAGGGTTGAGAGAAAGATTTGGTGATGCAGATGTGGGAAAGCAGAGCCATGAGAACCTGGTTAAAAGCCTCTTATCAAACAGCAATTGTAATGTGTTATAAACCTAATGTCAGTGGTGGGTTGCTACCGGTTCGCCCCAGATTGGGCGGACCGGTAGCGGTGGCGGCAGGAGGCTCCACCTACCCACCTGGACGCTTCTGTACATGTGCAGAAACTGCGCATCCACGAGCGAACAGGAAGTGACGGGTTTTGAACCCACTACTGCCTAATGTGTATGTTGAGACACAGAAACATAGAAAAGTGATGGCTGAAGAAGACCTAGTGGTCCATCAGGTCTGTCTTTTGAGTTATTTTTTAATTTAGTTTTTTATTTTTGTTGGATGATGGACATTTTTTTTTATCCCAAGCACGTTTAAACAATCTGGCTGCTCAATTTACTGACCTCGGAAGGATGGAAGACTGAGTCAACTTTCAGCTGGTGAGACTTGAACTGCCGAACCCCTGGCAACCTGCAGTTGCAGGATTAGCCTACAGTATTCGATTCGAACCACTGAGCCACCACAGCTCTTCAGACAGTACATAGTCAGGTCCTCCAATCTCTCCTGATATGTTCTGACCCTCAAATCTTGCACCATTTTTGTTGCCTGTTTTTGAACTCGCTTAATCTTATCAATATCTTTGTTTAAAGTACGTCCTTTTGAGATGTCTGGAGCCTTTTGCTGTATGTGAGTTCAGCAAAATCTCAGTCTGTGGTGCTGTTAAAGAGAGGCCTGAACACATAGAGTCAGTTTCTAACACATTACAATGTGTTAGAATCCACTAACCTGGATTGTGTTTGTATAACCAACCTGAATTCCTTACAGTGGTGGGTTTCAAAATTTCTGTGGTTCTGTGGGCATGGCATGGCTTGGTGGGTGTGGCTTGATGAGCGTGGCAGGGGAAGGATACTGCAAAATCCCCATTTCCTCCTGATCAACTGGGACTCAGGAGACAAAGAATAGATGGGGCGGGGCCAGTCAGAGGTGGTATTTACCAGTTCCCCGAACTACTCAAAATTTCCACTACCAGTTCTCCAGAACTGGTCAGAACCTGCTGAAACCCACCTCTGATTCCTTAGCTTCTTCTCATCATAAATTTAAAATTTCAATTTCAATCCTACAGGATTCGAACCACGCTATGACTCTGATGATGTCAATTGCAGTTCACAAAAGGTTCATCTTTTTAATTAATTTGCTGCATTAATATCTGCCCCCAGTGCTAAATTCAATGAAAGTACATTTCTTTATGCACAGTTAAGAAATTGGAATGGCTTAAACAGGATCCATTTTGACTGGCATTCTTCTCAGATTCAGGGTTGGGTTTTTTTATTTTTATTTTTATTTTTCCGGAGACTCAGGGCGGCTTACAATGCGTTAAGCAATAGCCTTCATACTTTTGTATATTTATACAAAGTCAGCTTATTGCCCCCACAATCTGGATCCTCATTTTACCTACTTTAGAAAGGATGGAAGGCTGAGTCAACCTTGAGCCTGGTGAGATTTGAACTTGCAGTAATTGCAGGCAGCTGGTGTTAATAACACTGTTAATAACAGTGCTTTAATATGCTGCGCCACCAGGACTCTTCTCCATATATTTTCTCCATATATTGCCAATCTGAGAGATTCAAATTAGGATATTTAAACTTGTTCTGGACAACTAAGCTGTGGTTTCCCTTGTAACTTTACCAATCTTTAAAGCAGCCTACTTGTGTTACACCATTGCTTCCTGAACCCCAGTGGCCTTTGAAAATGATTTTGCCAGAGTTCAAGAAGGGCTAAAATGAATCTCTGATTGATCGAGGTTTGTGTACCAGCTGTTGTCTGATATTGAGAACATGTGTCCCAATCGTCTCCTTAGACATCTTCATGCTTCTCACACACAGGAAGATCTGGTGGATTTGCATCATGAGCCTTCCAATTCCGAACTGGATCCGTTGGATATCGTGAAAGTTGAGGTCCCCATGGATGGAGACAGTGAGTAGACCAAAATGCTTTGAAAAACTTGGGGATGAAATCTGGTAAACGTAGGTAGAACGTGGTTGATCAGTCTGAAACTACATCCTGATGATGGCCTTCGGGGTATTTGAAGGTGCTTGTCACCACAAATCTTAGTGACAGAATTGCCAGTCCTAATTGTGGTCACTAAGTGAGGACTACCCACGTTCATTCATCACCACCCTGCGGTCTTATTCTTCCTGCAGTTGATGGGGAGGAGACCAATGTGCAGTAGGGAGTCTCTCTGGATGGCTTTCCTATTACAGAGCTGAGGTGCTGTTGCTGGACTAGGAGTGGGGACACCAAAGTTCCAGTCTCTCCTTAGCCATGAAAGGTCCCTCAGTGTCAATCCCACTTGATAGACCAGACCAAAGAAATCAACACCACAGGAAGACTCTAACACAGTTGTAAGTGCAAGGACCAATTGTACGTCACTTTTTTCAGTGCTATTGTAAATTCAAATAGTTGGTTTTCAGATGAAGGCCTCTTCTGTATGCACAGAGGGTGGGACGCACATGGGGGGGGGGTTGCATGTGTATTGCATTATGGGTGTGCACCCATGCCCACACACTTCCAGCACTCTGTGCCGAAAAGGTTAGCCATCACTGGCTTAAAGTATAGCTTAAAATGTCAGGGTGCCAAGTAGCATACTCTTAGCAAACAAAACTCCGAGGCAGGTAATTTCTTCAAAGAATAGTTTTATTTGATATGTCATATTGGCACAGGTTGGTGAAAACTGACTCTGAATATTCCCGTGGATATCACCTAATTTAAAGGGAAAATTTGTCACTTTCTCAAAACAATCAGTCACATGGTCGAATCAGGATACAGCCCAGTTGGTAGGTGTCTCCAGTCCCCTCCTTCCGAGCACCTGCAGGAAAGTTCTTGGTTCCCACGAGAAAGCATTTTGTTTTGGCTACAACACCCCAACTATCTCTATTTCCCCCTCCCTATCACTGGTCACTGCAGTTGGCCTCCTTGAGCTGGAGTTTACTCTTCCCCTTCAGGGGGGAGGGAAGACTTCAACGGCTTGACGGACGAATTTCCCCCTCTCTGGGGTCTTCTGGTGGTTTTTTCAGTTTGGTTAATGCATGGGTCTTTGCTTGCGGGACAGGAGCTGGGGCCAGGCATACAGATGCACGGTGGCCTTGCTGGCACCATCGGAAGCACTTGATTGGTGCCATTGAGGCTCTTCTTCAGCCGGTCCTCCACTTGGCAGGTTCTAGTTTGCCTGCCGAGCTGTCTCTTGGGCTTTTTCTCCAGTGCTTCCTTCTGGTACTGGTGGAGTTCAAGGTCCATGGCCATCACCATTTGGTACCAGTCGTGCATGCGGTCTGGGACCCCCAGCAGATACAGGTATGGTATAGCAGCTTGTCCAAGCCTTCTTTAAAGAACTGGACCAAGAGGCACTTGGGCCAATGTCACAGTATTCTGGCAATTCTACGAAACTCCCTAACATACTCTTTGGCCGGGCGACCTCTTTGCTTGATGGCTTTGGCCTTCATCTTCAAATCTGCTCCTCAGCTTCTGCAGGAAGTCATTGATGTTTCCGAGCTCTGGTGCGTCTTCGTTGTACAGTTAGGTCACCCTCTCCATTGCCTCCCCGTCTAGTTTTCAGTGATGGCTTGGATTATTTCTTGATTGTTAGCGTAGGCATTCCCATAATGGTCAATGTGTGCCCACACTCGGTTCAGGTGGTAAGCCAACTTGTCTGGACTGCCATTGAAGGCGGCCCTAAAGTGTGGAGGACTTGCCAGCCAAGATGGTGGAGGAGGAGGTGGTGGTGGCGGAGTGGGAACTGGGGTCCACTGAGCTTGGACCCAGCCTTGCCCCAGGTAGTATACCCAACTGGATGGCACCTACCAAGCTGGCAGTAACTGGGACTGTCTAGGGGGGCTAACTGGTCTCCTGCTTCTTGGCAGGCTCCGCTGCAGTCCCGAGCTCAATCTGCCCGAGGGGAGTGGCAGCGGGCTGGCACCACCGATCCCTGCCACAATTGACTGGTCCCACCTGGGGAGAATTGCTCTTGGGCTGGAGTGTTCTGAAGGGAGTGGCGGAGGACTCGCGGCTTGGGTAGACCCGGTCCCTTGGGGGGGAAACATGAGAGTTGACTGGCTTAAGATGACTAGTACGTTCAGGCTGGTGTGAGTGACCCACACTGCTGAGGCTCATCCAGTCGAATCTCTCCAGCAACCCCTCTAGGGTCTGGCTATGAGCCGCGGTGTGATATCTCCAATCCCCAGAATTGCTAAGGTCTATGGGCACCATCGACCTCCACTCAAGGATTGTGGTCCACGATTCTTTTGTCTAAGTCATGGGCTGCTTTCTCACTGCATGCAGGTTGACAGCTGAAGTCTCCCTCCACCTGGTAGAGCTCTTTGGTGGCTGGCCACTTGGTGCAGATCTTGGGTCAGGTGCCCACCTGGCGCGCGATCTCTGCCATGGTTCTGCTATCCACTGTGTCTCCAAGGGGATGGGCAGACTGTCAAGAGGGTCCCCATAGGCTGCTGCAGTGTCTTCAATCTCATTCTCTATCTTCCCAGTCTTCCCGTTGCCGGGAAGATTGGGTAAGCGGCCAGGGCACAGGACTCTGGATAGTGTCTCCGGTTGGAGAGTGAAGTTTAGTAGAGTTGGTTTAATGTCAGGTTCCAAGTAACATACCCTTAGCAAACAAAACTCCGAGGCAGGTAATTTCCTCAAAGAATAGTTTTATTTGATATGTCATATTGGCACAGGCTGGTGAAAACCGACTCTGAATATTCCCACAGTTTTCACCATTAAAAGTGAAAGTTTGTCACTTTCTCAAAACAATCAGTCACATGGTCCAATCAGGATACAACCCAGTTGGTAGGTGTCTCCAGTCCCCTCCTTCCGAGCACTTACAGGAATGTTCTTGGTTCCCATGAGAAAGCATTTTGTTTCGGCTACATCACCCCAACTATCTCTATTCCCCTCTCCCTAACCCTCTTCTCCAGTTTGTCAGTGCTGAAGTCCCAAAATGGCCTCAGTCAGGCCAGCTTCAGGGCTGACAGACAGCCCCCCTTAATTTAAAAGGAGTTCCTCGAAGAAGACAAGAAAGAACACAAAAAGATGATTAAAAACAAGCTAACCTCCTCTTCCTCCCGCTGGAGGCCCCTGTGTCTTATGGGGGTATTTGTTATGGAACTGCTTAACCAATTTGTCTGCCTTCACATCCCACAGGGTGTTAATCCCAAATTGTATAGCTTAAAGTATAGTTTAAAGCTTCTTGGATGAGAAGCGAAACATCTTCTCCAAATCCAATTTTAAGTCTAGGTAGAAAGTTTTCTTTTTTGGGCTTTAATCCTTTAATTTCCTCTTTGTTCTTCTCCCTCCAATTAAAATTCCCAAGTGCCAATTAGCTGCTTATTTCTGTGCCAGGACCTCTTTTAAGTTTTTTAAAATTTCTTTTTTACCTGTGAGTTGGTCAATCACTCACCGGTACCAATACTCCATTCAGTCATCACTCCTGCACAAAATCTTATTCCAGTTGCCCCAGCTTCAGAGCGGTCATTTTAATGGCCGCCACCCCCGACGCTGGTTCAGAGAACTGCCTCTGACCCTTCGAGGAACTTGCCTGTTCCTCTTGGTTGTCTGAGGTGCCTCTCTTTCTTCACTGTCCCTACAAGACAGTTCTGGTCCAAAGACCCCCCCGACAGCGGTTTGTCTGGCTGGATTTTTGCAAGGCTCGTTGGAGCCTGCTATTTTCCAGCCAGTCTCGCTGCAACGCTTCAGGTTCCTCCAGAAGCAAAACATCTTCAAAAAAAAAACAAGAAAGTCCAGTTGCCTCCTGAAAAAGCACCTTTGGAACAACCACGACCTGGATAACTAAGAATCTCTACAGATTTTAATCTGATTGGTTTTATTGATCTTTGAGATGACCATAAGAACACATAAAATTGGGACGCAGGTCAGGAGTTTGTCTAATATTTCTGACACTGATGCACTTTTCCTCTTTAGCAAGCAAGAAAGCAAAAGCCCTCAGGTGCCCTTCTTGGGCTGGCAAGCTAAGCAGGGATAACCCTGGAAAGTCCATGGATGGGAGACAAATTGGGAAGAAAAGGTCTGAAAGCTAGATTGTGGAGGGGGAGAAAAAGTGCTCCAAAAAAAGGAAATGACAATTACAGGCAGTCCTCGAGTTACGTCCACAATTGAGCTCCAAATTTATGTTGCAGTTGTTAAGTGAGCTTTGCCCCATTTTACAACTTTTCTCATCAGACTTGTTAACTGAATCACTACGGTTGTTAAATGAATCTGGCTTCACCATTGACTTTGCTTGTCAGAAGGTCGCAAAGGGGATCACATGACCCCAGGACACTGCAACCATCATAAATGTGAGTTAGCTACCAAGAACCCCAATGTAAATTACGTGACCATGGGGATGATGCACTAATCATAAGTGTGAAAAACAGTCATAAGTCACTTTTTTCAGTACTGTTGTAACTTCGAACAGTCACTAAATGAACTGTGGTAAGTTGAGGTCTACCTGTAGTTTCTGTGTTGCTGTCAAGACACCTGTATCAACTAATCCATGAAATCAGCAGGCATTGAGTACCACTCTGAAGAGATTTGAGTTGAATTTTTGTGCAGTATAATTGACGTCCTCCTAACTTGCTTGTTCTTCTAGGAAGCTCCGACCACCAACACTACTTCTTCGGAGAAGTAACAGACTTGCCTGAGGGAATGTATAGTAGCAGGAGGATGAAGGCCACTTTTGACTCTCCTCCAAGGAGTCAGAAAGTACCACTGAAAGAAAAACTGCACAAATGCCAATATTGTGGGAAGCTCTCTGACTGCCGCGCTCACTTGATTATTCACGAGCGAACCCACACAGGGGAGAAACCCCACAAATGCTCAGCATGTGGGAAAAGCTTCACCCGGAAGGAATCTTTGATTATCCACGAGAGGTTCCATACAGGGGAGAAGCCCTATAAATGCTCATTGTGTGGTAAAACCTTCAGTGATAAAATTGGGCGCCTCATCCATGAGAGAACTCACACCGGGGAGAAGCCGTACAAATGTTCTGAGTGTGGGAAGAGTTTTGGCACTCATTGCAACCTCCTGAGGCACCGGAGAGTTCATACAGGCGAGAAACCATACCATTGCTCAGACTGTGGCCAGAGTTTCCGATACAGACCGCAGTTAGTGATCCACGAAGGGACCCACAAAGGGGAGAAGCCTTATAAATGTGCAGACTGTGGAGAAACTTTCAGTCAGACGCGACATCTGGTGATACATAAGTGGACTCACACGGGAGAGAGGCCTCACCAATGTGCCGTCTGCAGCAAAAGTTTCAATCAAAAGTCAGACCTTATTACTCACACCAGGACCCACACTGGGGAGAAGCCGTATGTCTGCTCCGACTGTGGGAAGAGTTTTATTTCGAGTTGCCAGCTGAGGAAGCACGAGAGAATTCACACCGGGGAGAAACCGTACCAGTGCGCAGAGTGCGGGAAATGCTTCACTTACAGTTCTCATCTCACCACGCACCAGCGGACACACACGGGTGAGAAACCTTACCAGTGCCCGGATTGTGGGAAATGTTTCATTTCTAGTTCTCACTTCACCACCCATAAAAGGACGCATACTGGCGAGAAGCCCTACCAGTGTACCTACTGCGGGAACAGTTTCATTCAGCGATCGCAGCTTGCCAAACATGAGAGGTCGCACACAGGAGAGAAGCCCTACATCTGTTCTGAGTGTGGGCAGAGCTTCCGGTGGAGCCAAGGGCTCAAAAAGCACATGCGGACTCATACTGGCGAGAAGCCATATGGGTGCACTGCGTGCGAGAAAACATTTTCCAGTTCCTTTAATCTGTCCAGGCATCAGAAAATACATGTGAGGGAGAAGCTATAATGGGGTGCTTTTAGACAAAAGACGGTAGGGTGATCGGTATAGCTCGATACAGGTAGTCCTTGTTTGAAATGACAATCAACATGAAAAAGGGGATTTACAACCTGGATTGACATGGTCATGTGACAAAAATTTTGGGCACATGACAACAGAGCTATTAGCGGTATCCCATGGTCACCTGACCACATTTTTGTAATGGTTGTTGCAGAAAACCAGCACTTGGCAAAACTGCATCCATAGTAAACAATCGGTTTGCGTAAGAACCATGGTGTTTATGTAAAAACAGCAGATTTTGCTTAATTAATTTGGTTATACACTTAACAACCACCGTGAAAGGGTTGGTAATATCAGGTTGGTAATATTCTGTGACTGTTGTGACATGACTGTAATGGACAGGCTCTGAGCTGTGGTGGCTCAGTGGTTAGAACGCAGTACTACTGCAGGTTATTTTTGGTGATTGCTGGCTGCCTGCAGTTCGGCAATTCGATTCTCACTTGTTCAAGGTTGACTCGGCCTTCCATTCTTCTGAGGTGGGCAAAATGAGGATCCAGATTGTTGGGGGCAATATGCTGACTCTGTAAACCACTTAGAGAGCCTGTAAAGCTATATATAAGTCTAAGTGCTATTGCTACTGTTATGTCAAGGACTGCCTGTTGTGGGTGTAGTATGGCGTAGGTCAAAAAAGAACACAGAAAGAACGGAACCAAGTCATGTTTGGTCAGCTGCTAAACCAGAATGCTGTAAAGATCTGGTTTGCTTGTTTCTTGAGAATGACCTTATTTCCCATTTGGCTACACCTGCTAGTCGGAGAAACTAAACCAGAAGTATCTCCTCTCCACTCCCAAATCTGCAAGGTAGTGAGATTGCCAGACCTAATGATATTATCATGCTGAAATATATTCCAAGACATTGCAAAGAATGCTGAAGTTGGGTACAAGGTCTTGTTGCATTTTAAAATGGTTATATGGGTAGTCCTCGACTTACAACCACAATTGAGCACAACAATTCTTTTGGCAAGGGAGAAATTTGTTAAGTGAGTTTTGCCCCATTTTATGACTTTTCTTGCCTCATTTGTTAAGTGATTCACTACAGTTGATAAATTAGTAATCCGGTTATTAAGTGAATCTGGCTTTCCCATTGACTTTGCTTATCAGCAGGTCACAAAAGGGAATCATGACCTTGGGACACAGCATCCATCATAAATATGAACCAATTGCCAAGTATCTGAATTTTGATCACATGATCATGGGGTCAAGTGTGAAAATCGGTCATATGTCACTTTTGTCAATGCCGTTGTAATTTGGAACAGTCATTAAATGAACTGTTGTTAAGTCAAGGACTAACTGTATTATGGTTTTATAGCAAGTGCTATTTGGGAAGAGAGCTCGACATCTGCAGATGTTTCAGAACCTTGTGTTACATAACTGGTGCAAATTCTTTCTCTGTTTCATTAACCATGATTGGTAAACTGGTCTCTGGCTCATTGTTTTTTTTTAAAGAAGATTGGAAAATGGAGTTTCCAAGGTGAAGAGTTGCCAGTTTATATACCACCCTAAACAGGTCAGAGAAAGGACTTCCTTGGGGTGGTTTGTGAATAACTCTGAACATATTTTTTTTTCCCTAAAAACTTGACCGAGTGCAGACTGAGATACCTTGGTTTGTTCAACAAAGCATGATTAGAAATAAACTCAAGTGCAGTACAGTACAGTGTACGAATGCAGGATGTTTAGCCATTTTTGATGGCAAGAGGAGTCACATACAAGACAAAGATCATTCTCGGAAAGCCTGAATACTTCAGTATGTAGTTTGCAAATGTGGCCTGTATGTTTGCTCATTGATTGAAAAGTTAATCTGTAAATCAATTGCAAGGAACCTGATTGGATTCCAGCTTTGTGACGGTTCCCAGTTTACTACAGGTAGTGCTTGTCTTAGGACCAGTCGATGAGCAACCGTCTGTTATGAACTTCCCTAGGGGTACTTATGAACCACATTTGATCTGATGGTTGCCACTCCCTCCCACAATTTCCTTGATTGTAATTTTGGGCACTTGGCAATCAAGTTGCATTTACAGCCTTTTGTAATGCCTACATCGTGACTGCATCCTAAGTTGCATTAACAGAGGGATTCAATCAAGATAATGTGAGGTACTAATACCGATCTATAAAGCCTTAGTAAGACCACATCTAGAATACAGCATCCAGTTTTGGTCACCACACTATAAAAAAGATGTTGAGATTCTAGAAAAAGTGCAGAGGAGAGCAACAAAGATGATTAGGGGATTGGAGATTAAAACATAGGAAGAACGGTTGCAGGAACTGGGCATGGCTAGTCTAGTAAAGAGAAGGACCAGGGGAGACATGATAGCCATCTTCCAATACTTGAGGAGCTGCCACAGAGAGGAGGGGGTCAAGCTATTTTTCAAAGCACCTGAAGGCCACACAAGGAATAATGGATGGAAACTGACCAAGGAGAGATTCAACCTAAAAATGAGGAGGAACGTTCTGACAGTGAGAACAATCAACCAATGGAACAGCTTTGCCTTCGGAAGTTGTGGGAGCTTCATCACTTGAGACTTTTAAGAAAAAATTGGACTGCCATTTGTCAGAAATGGTGTAGGGTCTCCTGCTTGAGCGGGGGGTTGGACTAGATGACCTATAAGGTCCCTTCCCACTCTGTTAATCTGTTAATGTTGAGACTCTAGATAAAGAGTGCAGAGAAGAGCAATAAAGATGATTAGGGGACTGAAGACTAAAACATATGAAGAACAGTTGCTGGAACTGGGCATGGCTAGTCTAGTGAAGAGAAAGACCAAGGGTGACATGATAGAAGTCTTCCAATATTTGAGGGTCTGTCAAAGAGAGGAGGGGGAGGTCAACCTATTTTCCAAAATACCTGAAGGCCAGACATGGAATAACATTGAAACTGAACAAGGAGAGATTCAACCTAGAAATAAGGAGAATCATTCTTGGTCAGCATGAGTGAAACTGCCTCCCTTTGAGCTTTTGGCCTGATGTGCCATTGTGTCCTAAATCCTTGATAGCCACCAAAGAGCAGTCAGAAAATTTTAGGATGTAGAGAGGCTTTGGTTTATGCTGAGAATCACTCCTACCAAAGGGCAGGAATCTTTTGATCAACTTTCTGAAAATTAGTAGCCTCCAAGTATTTTGCTCAAGCTATTTGGGAACTATAAGGCCGAAATCTAACCCATCTAGAAATTGGGGAAGGCTGCTCTAGACTTTGCAAGAATGAAGATGGAAGGATAATATCTCCTATCTAGATCTGATTTGGAAGCAATACTGGTTAATAAATAGAACATCTTGCTTCATGGAGTTGTGCGTGCTCCTTTGCTGGAGGTTTTCAAGAAAATATTAGACAACCATTTATCCGGAATGATATAGGAGTCCTGCCTAGGGCGGTGGGTTGGACTAGAAGACCTTCAAGGTCCCTTCCAGCTCTACAATTCTGTGACATTTGCAGGTATTGTTCCACATTTCATTATTCTGTTATTGGATGATGCTTACAATCATTTTAGGGCTGTGCACACACAAGCAAGACCTTCATACATTTTTATGAAGCACAGCACCTCCCTAATTTTGAGAATCTATATAGGATCAAGCTTCACTCTTCAAGCTTTGCTCAGTTGCAAAGATAGGTTGTGAGCAGGGGTGAAATGCTCCCTGTTCGGTCTGGTTCGCCGAACCGGTAGTAAAAAATGTTTAAAAAAAAGTTCAGACAATCAGCTGAGCAATGCCTGATCGTCGGAACTTTAAAAAAAAACTTAGCATTTTTTACTACCGGTTGTCTGGAACTGGTAGTTAAAAATCCTTTTAAAAGTAAAAAAAGCTTTTGACGATTGCATGCCTTAGCTGTGATCATCAGAGCCTTTTTTTATCTTTAAAAGCATTTTTTTACAACCTATTCAGGCAAATAGGTTGTAAAAAAATGCTTTTAGAAGGAAAAAAAGGCTCCGAAGATCGCGTGCCACAGCTGATCACCCCCCCCCGTGTGATGTTCTACTTACCCCATGCCTCCTTTTAGCGTGCACTGCACGCGTGTGTACCCCGCATTTGCAGCCAGTGAATTGGTAGTAAACTGGTTCAGATTTCACCACTAGTTGTGAGGATGTTATCCTGCATCCCCAAGACTAATAACTGGGTGGAGCAGTCTTTACTTATCTCCATGGGAGATGCCCTTCGTTGCTTCCTGTTTCAACGTAGTGCCCCGGACCCAAATGGTTACCCTTGATTTAGTTCTCGCTTATTGCAAAACAAAGCTTCTTCATCAACTACAGTGGCGATTATTGCACCATTGAGAGATCCAAAGGAACAGGTTAAGGATAGATCATCTTGGAGGAAGTCTTGCCATATGGTCGCAAAGGACTTACAACAGTTCATTTAGTGACTGTTTGAAGCAACGGCACTGAAAAATGTGACCTAATGACCATTTTTCAGAGTTATGATGGTTGCACCATCCCTGCGGTCACTTGATTTACATCTGGATGCTTGACAACTGACTCACATTTATGACGGTTGCAGCATCCCAGAGTCCTGTTATCCCCCTTTGCAACCTTCTGACAAGCAAAGTCAATAGGGAAAAACCAGATTCACATAACAACTGTGTTACTAACTGCAGTGATTCACTTTAACAAATATGGCAAGAAAAGTCATAAAATGGGCCAAAACTCACATAACAACATAAATTTTGGGCTCATTGTGGTCATACGTTGAGGACTAAATATATCCGTACTTAATTTAATATCTGGAGCAGTGAAAGGTTGGACAATGAGTAAGAACACACAGTTGCAGCTAATTGGTTGAAGAGAGCTGGCCACTGCATGAGGCAATATAAGCTGTGATAGGCTACTCTGAATGTGGAGGGGGAGTTTCCTTGTTTCCCGCTTTTTTTCCTCGGTGTGCTCTGTAATTTACCTCATCATGTCCCTGCTATGTTGATTTACCTCACGATGCCCCTGTTTGGCCAACTATCTTGTTTGCTCTAAATATAATTGTTTATATAAAACTACAAGTTTGTGTCAGCGTCTCTCTGACCCCATTGAGATACTAGCTGTGCAATTCCCTCTCAACCTGATGGGACATAATCAAAAAAATATTTCAAACATCTTAGTGATCGGACAAGCATGTTTTTCAGCTGTCTGTCTCTAGATGGCAGCCTGTGGATCAGCAGCGATCTGCATTGACACAACTGTCAATGCAGAGGCTGCATCAATGATTGAGGGGAAAGGACTTGAAACCCTTGAGTATTAAATTGGTAGAGAGGATATTGGGGGGGAAGAGAAAAGGATCAGAGAAACTTCCTCTTCTGGCTCATCCATGAAGGGAAAGTGGTGTGCAGAGAGGCTTTCGTGCTTTTCCCAAGGTGGAAGCAGCATCTGGAAGAGTTGAGGGCAGGTGGGAGGAGAGGCCGGGAGCAAAAATTCGGGCTGTTTAGTTTCCTCCCCAGTGTAAAAGCAGAAAAGCAACTAGGTTCAAACGTGTCAGCTGCTATCTATTTTATAAATGAAATAAATTCTACTCCATTGGTGCTGCATGCTTCAAAAGTCGTGCCTTCAATTTTCTGGTGGTGGGGGATTTAAAAAACCTCCTTCAAGTTAGTTTTGACTCATTGTGGTTTCATGGGTATGTTTAAAGGGCAGCAATATGAGACTGATCTGCCACTGCTATCTTCTGAGATTTTTTTTCTTCACTTCCATGTCCAGCCAACCAACAAACACTGGTTTTCCTAGTCCTGTCCCATCTGTTTATTAACCAGGTTCAACTATGCTTAACACACCTACTCAGACAAAGCAATTCTCCATATGATTGCGAAGAGACCCTGTGAGTCTACGGTGGCCAAAAATCAGAGGGCCTCAAATTGCTCCTTTGCAGACTAAGGAATTTTGTGAAAAGGCTTGCAAGGAGCTGTGCCTATTAATGCAATGGATTAGAAAAGGCGCTACCAGACTCCTCCTGACATGCTTTATAAGATTAAATATTGAGGAAAAGGCAGCATCTCCAGCCACGAATTGCATGGTTGAAGGATGGTGGGCCTTGCAATTGCCCCTCTTCAACATCCATGCATTCCTAATTTGCACCTCTTGCAGCTGTGGATTAGGGCATGCAAGTTTCTTTTACTATTGCAGTGATTGTCATCTCTCTTTTTAAAAAAAAATACCGGTGCTTGCTTTCCATTCTTTGGTTTTTCTTGGTGTGTGTGTGTGATATGTGTGAGCCTCCGGCAGTGCCACAATCACCCCCCTCCATGCAGCGGCTTCAGCGAAGGGGTTAAACGCAGAGAGCTTTCCTCTTGCGCCTAGAGAGGAGGCAGGAAAGGAGGAAAAGACGGGTTGGGAGCCCAGTTCCCTGCCCATCTCGCCCCCCCCCCTTTCTGGTCTCCAGACATCCCTTATGCCAGGGCTGCGGAGATCCCTTCGTGGGGAGGGGTGCTCAAGATGCGCCAGGTGGGCAAAGGACGCTGCAAGGATGCTGCAAGAGGAGGGTTGGACCAGGAGGGGGAGGAGGGAGAGGAGGGGGGAGGAAAGGCGGAAGAGGAGGAGGGGGAATCCCCAGGTGCAGGAAGGGAAAAGGAGATTCCTGGGGAGGGGGGGGGAAAGCGTGGAGGCAATATTTTTACAGTGGGGCCTCTTCCCTTCTGAATTCTCTGGTTTTTACTTGCAGCCGCTGCGCCTCCACTAGACTCTGATTCCCCTTGAAATCCTTCCTTCCAAGTCTCCTTCCTTCCCTTCAGCCCAACATCTTGGTGCAGTACAGCTCCCTGCTTGTGGCTTCCTGGTGTTGCCGTTCCCAGGTTCCCGGGCTGCTGACGGGGAAGGATCGGGTCCCCAAAGTAAGTCTGGAGGGATAGAAGAGGTGGAAGACTTGGGGAGACCTGAGTTCAGAGGAAAGGTGGCTGAAGGGGCTCCGTCCGAGGTTATGAACCGTGCTAGGAGGAGCCCAGTGGCACCTGAAAGGTTGGTGAGACCTGAGAGGTTTGTTTTGAGATGCAGCATCTGAATCTGCCTCTCTTAAGATGCCCAGGTTCCTTTTCTGGTGACTGCTGCCTCCCTCTTTCTCTCTGCCCCACTAACTGAACATCTGGGTAGAAGTTTTCAATGTTACTTTTACCAGGTAGTCCTCAACTTACCACCACAATTGAGCCCAAAATTTCTGTTGCTGAGTCAGACATTGGTTAAGTGAGTTTTGCCCCATTTTACAATTTTTTTTTGCTCCAGTTGTTAAGTGAATCACTGCAGTTATTAAGCTTAGTAACGTGGTTGTGAAGTGAATCTGGCTCCCAATTGATTTTGCTTGTCAGAAAGTCACAGAAGAGGACCACATGACTGCAGGATACTGCAACCATCATAAATATGAGTCCACTCTCAAGCACCTAAATTTTGATCCCGTGACCAGGGGGATGCTTTCCAACAGTTTTAGAAAGAAAGGACTCTTGGAGCCAGGTTTTACTCCAAATGGCATCTGGGTTCCTATGCATTGGAAGATAAATTTAATAATTATATATGCTGTTCTAACCATTAGCTAAATTGAAGTAATTACAGAATCATATCTGGGTCGTCTTCCGAGCTTTCGGACTCATGCTGGAGTCCCTCTTCAGGGAACTTCTCTCTAGCAGAGAGTGTGTGTGTGGTATTTATAGTGTCTGTTGTATGTGGGTACTGGGATGTGTTGGTGACTGGCTTTTAAATTGTTTGCTGTTGTTTGCTTATGCTGCCCAGCTCTGCACCTTCTAATTACTTGATAGGCTGGCTGGTAAATCAGCACTCCTATTTGACTGACGAAGGGCTTGTTTCCCAGGTGTTAATCACTTCCCTGGGTATTTTTGTGCCTGTTTGCCCCCCAAACTTAGTAGCTTGTGTTTTTGTGTGAGAACTATAAATACCACTAAAAATACCACACACAGAACAGTACACAGTATAGTACACAGCTAGAGAGAAGTTCCCTGAAGATGGGCTCCAACATGAGTCCGAAAGCTCAGAAGACCAAAACCACATGCACACACACGCACACATGCACACACACCTTCATTTGTGATATAATTACGTGAATGTGATTAATTTTTTTTTTTTTTTAATTTGATTTATATGCCGCCCTTCTCCGAAGACTCAGGGCGGCTTACAATGTGCTCAGCAATAGCCTTCATCCTTTTGTATATTTATACAAAGTCAGCTTATTGCCCCCACAAACTGGGTCCTCATTTCACCTACCTTAGAAAGGATGGAAGGCTGAGTCAACCTTGAGCCTTGGCGAGATTCGAACCCTGCTAATTTAATTAATATATTTGATATAATTAATCAAATTAATCCAAGCATTAAAGCAGTTCCCCAAGGATTATTTATTTTGACTGCCTGTAGCAAATCCAGATTGTAGAACTGGATCCAGATCATCAAAGAGTACTGGGGAGAAACAGACCTTTATGGATCCTCGGCTTCCCTTTTGTGCATAAGTAATTATGACAATTTCTATTCTTGCCAGGAAGAAAGATGGAGGCAAAGGACTCGCTTGGATCTCAGGCAGGAAAGAGAGAGCCAGCGAGGGGAAGTGTTCAAACTATGGCAACACAGGAATATCTGAATGGTTTCACTACATCTCAGATTAAGCAAGAACCAGAAGAGGGGCTGGACCAGTTGTGTGAGATCCAGAAAAGAGAAACTCTGAGGGCTCCATATTTGGATGGAAGAAACTCTCCACCTTCTCAGTCCTCACCAGAGAATAACACTAGGCCGCCTTTTAGCAGAAAGGCCGATCTCCATCAACGGTCCCTCAGAGGAAAAGCTGCATCCAAAACCTTGCCAGGCCTGGGCTGCATGGAAGTTCCCAAATTTTACGAAGGCCTGGATTCCCCAGTGGAAATGAAGGAAGAGTTGGTGGAGGAGGGCAAGCTCAGTGTGGTGCTACAATGCCAACGCTTCCGGCAGTTTCGCTATGAGGAAGCTGAAGGGCCTCAGAAAGTGTTTGGTCACCTCTGGGACCTTTGCTGCCAGTGGCTGAAGCCGGAGTGTCACTCTAAGGAGCAAATCCTGGAGCTGGTAATCTTGGAGCAGTTCCTGATGATCCTGCCGCTGGAAATGCAGAACTGGGTTCGGGAACAGTGTCCGGAGACGGGGAGCCAGGCGGTGGCTTTGGCCGAGGACTTTCTTCGGAGGCTGCCACAAGGAGAAGAGCAGAGGGTGAGCATGGAACCTTGTCATGTTGGGCACCCTTGTAGAGCTCAGTTTACGGCCACAATTGAACCCCAAATTTCTGTTGCTAAGTGAGACATTTGTTAAGTGAGTTTTGCCCCATTTTGCAACTTTACTTGTTAATCATTGTGGCTGATAAGTTAATAACATGTTTGTTAAGTGAATCTGGCTTCCCCATTGACTTTGTCAGAAGGTGGTAAAAGAGGATCACATGGCCCCAGGACATCTCAGATTCAGGGATGGACTTCTCCATCATTGCCAGTCTGAGACATTAAAATTAGGACATTTTAAACTTGTTCTGGACAACTAAGCTGTGATTTCCCTTGTAACTTTACCAATCTCTCAAAGGTTTGTAGTCTTTGAAAATTATGTTGCCAGAGTTCGAGAAGGGCTGAAATGAATCTCCAGTCGATCTTGATTTGTGTACCAGCTGTTGGCTGATATTGAGAAGATGTGTTCCAATCGTCTCCTTAGACATCTTCATGTTTCTCACATACAGGAAGATCTGACAGACTTGCAACATGAGCCTTCCAATTCCGAACTGGATCCGTTGGATATCGTGAAAGTTGAGGTCCCCATGGATGGAGACAGTGAGTAGACCAAAATGCTTTGAAAAACCTGGGGATGAAATCTAGTAAATGTAGAGGAAAGTGGTTGATCAATCTGAAACTACGTCCTGATGATGGCCTTCAGGGTATTTGAAGGTGCTTGTCACCACAGATCTTAGTAACAGAATTGCCAGCCCCAATTGTGGTCACTAAGTGAGGACTTAGTCACCACTATGTGGTCTTATTCTTCCTGCGATTGATGGGGAGGAGACTAATGTGCAGTAGGGAGTCTCTCTGGATGGCTTTCCTATTAGAAAGCTGGTGTGTGCAGGGGTGAAGATGCTGTTGCTGGACTAAGAGTGGGGACACCAAAGTTTCAGTCCCTCCTCAGCCATCAAACATCCCTCAGTGTCAACCCCACTAGGCTTACTGAGTCATTACAATACAAACCTATTTTGTTGTAACAGCTGAGAATTACGTTCATTCTGAGCTGAGTCCCAATTAGTTGCAAAACAAGTCCTTCAGAAGTCCTTCGGGATAATCACCAACCTTTATCTTCTTTGACACCCTGCCAAAGGCCTTACTTGGCAAAGCCCCATGAAATTCAGAAACAAACAAGAGATGCCGACTGAAAACAGAGTTCACAACATTACTTTCCTGCAAAAGTCCCAAGTGCCTTTGTTTCTCTTTTAAGCTTTATGGGAGGGGCCAATCATCTCCTGGCCTTACTCCCGAGTCATCCCTTTTGCTTTAGTTGCTCTTGCCTTCTGGTAGCTCTGCGCATGCGTGCACTAGGAACAGACTCTTCCTGTTCCTCTGCCTCTCTGCTGTCTGACTCTGGGGGCTCCGGAGTCCGCTCATCACTCCCAGATGGCCCTGCCCCCATCTCTGCCTCTGACACAGAGCCCTCGTGTGGGCCTTCCCCAGACTCCAGGACTGGCCCATGTTCCTCCCCAGCCTCCTCACTGTCCAACTCCGCTGCCAGCTCCGCAGGCTGCTGGCGGACCACAACAAAAGTGCTCCAAAAAAAGAAAATGACAATTACAGGCAGTCCACGACTTACGACAACAATTGAGCCCCAAATTTATGTTGCTAAGCGAGACAGTTGTTAAGTGAACTTTGCCAGATTTTAGAACTTTTCTCATCACTCTTGTTAACTGAATCACTGCAGTTGTTAAATTGGTTGCACTGTTGTTAAGTGAAACTGGCTCACACATTGACTTTGCTCAGAAGATCACAAAAGGGATCAAGTGACCCAAAACACTGCAACCATCATAAATGTGAGTTAGCTGCCAAGCATCCGAATACAAATCATGTGACCATTGGGAATGCTGCATAGTCATAAGTGTGAAAAATGGTTGTAAGTCACTTTTTCCGCTGCCACTGTAACTTTGAATGGTCACTAAATGAACTGTTGTAAGTCAAGGACTACCTCTTGTTTCTATCTTGCTGTCAAGACACCTGTATTGACTAATCCATGAAATCAGCAGGCATTGAGTGCCATTTCAAAGAGATTTGAGTTGAATTTTTGTGCAGTATAATTGACGTATTCCTAATTTGCTTGTTCTTCTAGGAAGCTCCGATCATCAACACTACTTCTTCGGAGAAGTGACAGACCTGCCCAAGGGAATGTACAGCAGCAGGAGGATAAAGGTGACTTCTGACTCTCCTTCAAGGAGCCAGAAAGTCCCACTGAAGAAAAAACTACACAAATGCCAATATTGTGGGAAGCTCTCCGACTGCCGCTCCCACCTGATTATTCATGAGCGAACCCACACAGGGGAGAAGCCCTACAAATGCTCGTTGTGCGGCAAAACCTTCAGTATTAAAGGCAGGCACCTCATCCATGAGAGATCTCACACCGGGGAGAAGCCGTACAAATGCTCTGAGTGCGGGAAGAGCTTTGACACTCGCTGCAACCTCCTGAGGCACCGGAGAGTTCACACGGGCGAGAAACCCTACTGTTGCTCGGACTGCGGCCAGAGTTTCCGGTACAGACCGCAGTTAGTGATCCACGAAGGGACCCACAAAGGGGAGAAGCCTTATAAATGTGCAGACTGTGGAGAAACCTTCAGTCAGATGAGGCATCTGGTGATACATAAATGGACTCACACAGGAGAGTGGCCTCACAAGTGCGCCGTCTGCAGCAAAAGTTTCAATCAAAAGTCGGACCTTATTACTCACACCAGGACCCACACGGGGGAGAAGCCGTATATCTGCTCTGATTGTGGGAAGAGTTTCATTTCGAGTTGCCAGCTGAAGAAGCACGAGAGAATTCACACTGGGGATAAACCGTACCAGTGCGCAGAGTGCGGGAAATGTTTCACTTACAGTTATCACCTCACAACGCACAAGCGGATACACACGGGCGAGAAACCTTACCAATGCCCGGATTGTGGAAAATGTTTCATTTCTAGTTCTCACTTCGCCACCCATAAGAGGATTCATACTGGCGAGAAGCCACACCAGTGTACCTACTGCGGGAACAGTTTCCTTGAGCGATCACAGCTTGCCAAACATGAGAGGTTGCACACAGGAGAAAAGCCCTTCATCTGTTCTGAGTGTGGGAAGAGCTTCCCGCAGAGCCAAGAGCTCAAAAAGCACATGCGGACTCACACTGGCGAGAAGCCGTACGGGTGCTCCAAATGCGAGAAAACGTTCTCCAGTTCCTCTAATCTGTCCAGGCATCAGAAAATACATTTGAGGGAGAAGCTGTAATCGGGCGCTTTTAGAGATAAGATGGTAGTATGATCAGAGTAGCTAGATACCTGTAGTCCTAGTTCGAAGTGACAATCGACCTGGAAAGGGGGACTTGCAACCTGGATTCGGAGTTCTGACTGTCAGGTCACCTTCATGGTCATGGTCAAATTTTGGGCAGTTGGCAACAGAACAATTTGCAGTATCCCATGGTCACCTATCCATATGGTCTATCCATATGATCACAAAGGACTTTGTTAAGATACAGGTAGTCCTTGACTTACAACAGTTCATTTAGTGACCATTTGAAGTTACAACGGCACTGAAAAATGTGACCTAATGACCATTTTTCAGACTTATGACTGAAGAAAGTTAGCACCCACCCTCCTCCTAGAAGAATGAATTATTTTAGGAAACATTGAAAAGGCAGAATATTATATTTCCCTAAATGAGAACTGGAGAAACATGTTTTTTTTCTGAGGCAGGAAACAGACTCAGTCTTTCTTAATAACCCCAAAGATACTGTGGAGGCTACCTTTTAGAAATGCAGATTTGGTAATCCATTCAAGATAGGATTAAAACCCCAAGGAAGCCAGCATCTAGGATTAATTACATTTGTTAAACAAGATTAAAAACCCCAACTCATTGCTGGCCTTCAAGAGACAAACTAACTAAAACCAAATAACAAAATACACAAAACAAGCCTCTAAATTACAAAATGCTTTAGAACAAAGTGTATAAATATCAGCGGTAAAATGCTACGGGTTCACACCTGTTTCGGGCGAACCGGTAGTGATAAAAACTACCGGTTCAGGTGAACTGGTAGTAAAAAAAAAAGCTACCGGTTCCTTCAAACCGGTATTTCCAACGATCAGCTGTGCCACACGATTTAAAATTGCTAGAAAGCAGGAAATCCTGCTTTCTAGTCAATCTAAATCATGCGGCACAGCTGTTCCCCCCCTTGCTGTTGTACTTACCTTCCCAAGCCTCCTTTTTCCATGCGAAGCACGTTTGGTATGTACTGCGCATGCGTGTGCAGCGTGCATTTGGCACGGACTGTGTGGGCTGCGAACCGGTGTTAAATTGGGGAAGATTTCAGCATTGATAAAAATCCATGTGCTCATGAAATCAGGTGGTCAGCTACTCAGAATCACATGTGCTTGGTGGTTCTGCTTCACTATTAAAACCAACTTTCCAATCAGCCTCCATGTTTCCAGTGTCTTTCTCCTCACTTAGAACTGAACCCGGATGGACATTTCTTCCAACATGACTGTTGCAGCATCCCTGCAGTCAGGTGATTTACATCTGCATGCTTGACAACTGACTCACATTTATGATGGTTGCAGCGTCCCAGAGTCCCGTAATCTCCTTTTGCAGCCTTCTGACAAGCAAAGTCAATAGGGAAAAACCAGATTCACTTAACAACCGTGTTACTAATTTAAGAACTGCAGTGATTCGCTTTAACAGATGTGGCAAGAAAAGTCATAAAATGGGCCAAAACACAATTAACAACATAAATTTTGGGCTCAGTTGTGGTCATACGTTGAGGACTAAATGTACCTGTACTTAATTTAATAACTGGAGCAGTGAAAGGTTGGACAATGAGTAAAAACACACAGTTGCAGCTAATTGGTTGAAGAGAGCTGGCCATTGCATGAGGCAATCTAAGCTGTGATAGGCTACTCTGGGTGCGGAGGGGGAGTTTCCTTGTTTCCCGCCTTTTTTCCTCTGTAATTGTAATTTGCCTCATGCTCTGTAATTTACCTCATGATATTCCTGCTATGTTGATTTACCTCAGGATGTCCCTGTTTGGCTGATTTATCTTGTTTCCTCTAAATATAATTGTTTATATAAAACTACAAGTTTGTGTCAGCATCTCTGACCCCATTTGGATACTTGCTGTGCAATTTCCTCACAACCTGATGGGACGTAATCAGTGGTGGGATTCTGATAGATCAGTGTTTTTCAAATTTGGCAACGTTTAAGATGTGTAAACTTCAACTTCCAGAATGCTGTCCGGGCAATTCTGGAAGTCCACACCTCTTAGGATTGCCAAATTTGAAAAACCCTGTCAAAAATGTCAAATTAAGATCATTTTTAGGGATCTGTCTCCTTAAAAAAAAAGATATTACAGATTATCCTGAGCAGCATATCTATGAAGGAAGACTCTAATAGATACATGCTTTATGCATAAAAACATAGAAAGGCATCTAAGGATCACTAATCTCCCCACTTTCATGGACTGTAATTTATGAGAAAAAATTTGCAAAGATCTCAACAGAAGTTTTCCTCAGCTCTGCTTTGCCTGAATATGCAATATCTCTGCTCTGTCATTGAGCTGGGATCATTCTGGCCCTAAAAATAGACACAAAGCTCTCTCAATCACAAGAACTGTCATCCATTCTCATTTATTTATAGTATGGGAGCCTATAAATAGATACAAAGTTCTCCCAATCATAAAACTGTCATCTATCTATCTATCTTATCTATCTATCTATCATCTCTCTCTACCTATCTATATCTACCTATCTACCTGCCTATCTATCTCTACCTACCTACCTATCATCCTTCTTTCTTTTTCTTTCTTTCTTTCTTTCTTTCTTTCTTTTTCTTCCTTCCTTCCTCTCTCTCTTTCTCCCAACCTCCCTCCCTCTCTTCCCCCCCTCTCTTTCTTTTTCTTTCTTTCTTTCTTTCTTTCTTTCTTTCTTTCTTTCTTTCTTTCTTTCTTTCTTTCTTTCTTTCTTCTTTCTTTCTTTCTTTCTTTCTTTCAATTTGCACCAATTGCAGCTGTGGATTAGCGCCTCTCTCTCTTTCTCCCAACCTCCCTCCCTCTCTTCCCCCCCTCTCTCTCTTTCTTTTTCTTTCTTTCTTTCTTTCTTTCTTTCTTTCTTTCTTTCTTTCTTTCTTTCAATTTGCACCAATTGCAGCTGTGGATTAGCGCCTCTCTCTCTTTCTCCCAACCTCCCTCCCTCTCTTCCCCCCCCTCTCTTTCTTTCTTTCTTTCTTTCTTTCTTTCTTTCTTTCTTTCTTTCTTTCTTTCTTTCTTTCTTTCTTTCTTTCTTTTCTTTCTTTCTTTCTTTCTTTCTTTCTTTTTGCACCAATTGCAGCTGTGGATTAGCGCCTGCTAGGGTCTGTTACTATTGCAGTGAATGTCGGTCTCACTTTAGTTTTTTTTTTGAAAAAAAAAATCCCGGTGCTTGCTATGCATCCTTTGGTTTTTCTTGGGGGGGTGTGTGATATGGGTGAGCCTCTCTGGCGGGGTCCCGGCTGGAAGAGTTTGGCGTTCCCCTGAAGCGCCCCAGTCGCCCCCCCTCCCTGCAGCGGCTTCAGCGAAGGGGTTAAACGCAGAGAGCTTTCCTCTTGCGCCTAGAGAGGAAAGGGGGGGGGGAAAGGGGGGTTGGGAGCCCAGTTTCCTGCCCATCCCGCGCCACCACTACCCCCCTTTCCTGGTCTCCAGACATCCCTTACCCCAGGGCTGCGGAGATCCCTTCGTGGGGAGGGGCGCTCAAGAGGCGCCAGGTGGGCAAATTGGACCAGGAGAGGGAGGAGGGAGAGGAGAGGGAAGGAGGAGGAGGGGGGGGGGCATCCCCAGGTGCAGGAAGGGAGGGGGAGAAGCGTGGAGGTGGTCTTTTTACAGCGGGTCCCCTTCCCTTCTGAGTCCCTGCCTTTCCTTGCAAAGTTTTCTGCTCCCTGCCGGCTGCTGCGCGGCGGCGAGGGGCGCTCAAGAGACGCCAAGTGGGCAAAGGACGCTGCAAGAGGAGGATTGGAGCAGGAGGGGGAGGAGAGGGGAGGAGGAGGGGAGGAATCCCCAGGTGCAGGAAGGTTAAAGGAGATTCCTGGGGGTGGGGGGTGGGGAGAAGCGTAGAGGTGGGCTTTTTATAGGGTCCCCTTCCCTTCTGTATTCTCCCGTCTTTACTTGCAGGCACTGAGCCTCCGCTAGACTCTGATTCCCCTTGAAATCCTTCCTTTCAAGTCTCCTTCCTTCCACTCAGCCCAACATCTTGGTGCAGCACAGCTCCCACAGCTTCCTAGTGTTGCCTTTCCCCACGTTCCCCGGCTGCTGATTGGGGAGGATCAGGTCCCCAAAGTAAGTCTGCAGGGATAGAAAAGGTGGAAGACATGGGGAGATCTGAGTTCAGAGAGGTTAGGAACCCTGCTAGGAGGAGCCCAGTGGCATCTGAAAGGCAGATGACAAAGACCTGAAAGGTGTCCAGATGGGTTTGTTTTGAGATGCAGCACCTGAATCTGCATCTCTTAACATGCCCAGATTCCCTTTCTGGTGACTGCAGCCTCCCTCTTTTATCTCTGCCCCACTAACTAAACATCTGTGTGGAAGTTTTCAATTTTACAAGGTAGTCCTCAATTTACCACCACAATTGAGCCCAAAATTTATGTTGCTAAGTGAGACATTTGTTAAGTGAGTAATTATGATAATTTCTATTCCTGCCAGGAAGAAAGATGGAGGTATGGGACTCAGCAGGATGCCAGGCAGGAAAGAGAATGACAGCGAGAGGAAGCATTCAAACTGCGGCAACACAGAAATATCTGAATGGTTTCACTACATCTCAGATTAAAGAAGAACCAGAAGAGGGGCTGGACCAGTTGTGTGAGATCCAGAAAAGAGAAACTCTGAGGGCTCCATATTTGGATGGAAGAAACTTTCCACCTTCTCAGTCCTCACCAGAGAATAACACTAGGCCGCCTTTTAGCAGAAAGGCCGATCTCCATCAACGGTCCCTCAGAGGAAAAGCTGCATCCGAAACCTTGCCAGGCCTGGGCTGTATGGAAGTTCCCAAATTTTACGAAGGCCTGGATTCCCCAGTGGAAATGAAGGAAGAGTTGGTGGAGGAGGGCAAGCTCAGTGTGGTGCTACAATGCCAACGCTTCCGGCAGTTTCGCTATGAGGAAGCTGAAGGGCCTCAGAAAGTGTTTGGTCAACTCTGGGACCTTTGTTGCCAGTGGCTGAAGCCGGAGCGTCACTCTAAGGAGCAAATCCTGGAGCTGGTGATCTTGGAGCAGTTCCTGATGATCCTGCCGCTGGAAATGCAGAACTGGGTTCGGGAACAGTGTCCGGAGACGGGGAGCCAGGCAGTGGCTTTGGCCGAGGACTTTCTTTGGAGGCTGCCACAAGGAGAAGAGCAGAGGGTGAGCATGGATCCTTGTCATGTTGGGCACCCTTGTAGAGCTCAGTTTACGGCCACAATTGAACCCCAGATTAAGTGAGACATTTGTTAAGTGAATTTTTGCCCCCATTTTGCAACTTTTCTTGTTGTTAAGTGAATCATTGCGGCTGTTAAGTTAGTAACATGTTTGTTACGTGAATCTGGCTTCCCTGTTGACTTTGCTTGTTAGAAGGTGGCAAAAGAGGATCACTTGGCCCCAGGACACTGCAACTGTCATAAATATGAGTCGGTTGCCATCGTTTCTGAATTTGATCACTTGACCGTTGGGATGGTGCAACGTCATAAGTGTAAAAAATGGTCATAAGTCACTTTTTTCAGTGCTGTTGTAACTTCAAATGGTCACTAAAGGAACTGTTGTAAGTCAAGGACTAATCTGTAGCCCGCCATGGGAGTGTTTTTAATGATGAAAAAGCAGCCTAAAATCAGTAAGAAAGTGATCGTGAATTTCCATGTTTTGGTGGTGGTGGTGTTAGTTGCAAAGTCGTGTCCGACTCATCGCGAACCCATGGACAACGTTCCTCCAGGCCTTCCTGTCCTCTATCATCCCCCGGAGTCCATTGAAGCTCATGCTCATTCAGTGACTCCATCCAGCCACCTCGTTCTCTGTCATCCTCTTCTTCTTTTGCCCTCAATCTTTCCCAGCATTCCCAGAATCCCAGCTTCTCCAGTGAGTCATTCCTTCTTGTTAGGTGGCCAAAGTATTTGAGAATTTCCATGCAACACTCTTTATCTGAAGATATCAATATTTGTGGCTCATAATCTGATGCTCTGCATGATGACATTTTAATTAGTTTGAAAGACAGATTTGGGGATGCAGATGTGGGAAAGTAGAGCCAGGAGAAACTGATTAAAAGCCAACAGCAATTGTAATGGGTTATAAACCCAGCGTGTATGTTGAGACATGGAAACAGAAAACTGATGGCAGAAGACTTAGTGGCCCATCAAGCTTTATCCTTTTAATTTATTTGCTGCATTAATATCTTCCCCCAGTGCTAAATTAAATGAAAGTACAACATTTCTTTATGTACAGTTAAGAAACTGGAATGGCTAAACGGGATCCGTTTTGATTGGCATTCTCTTCAGATTCAGGGATGGTCTTCTCCATCATTGCCAATCTGAGAGATTCAACTTGGGACATTTTAAACCTGTTCTGGACAACTAAGCTGTGGTTTCCCTTGTAACTTTACCAATCTTTAAAGCAGCCTAGTTGTGCCACATCATTGCTTCCTGAACCCCAGTGGGTTTTGTAGCCTTTGAAAATGATTTTGCCAGAGTTCGAGAAGGGCTGAAATGAATCTCCGATCCTGGTTTGTGTACCAGCTGTTGGCTGATATTGAGAACATGTGTCCCAATTGTCTCCTTAGACATCTTCATACTTCTCACACACAGGAAGATCTGGCAGACTTGTGTCGTGAGCCTTCCGAACTGGATCCATTGGATATCGTAAAAGTTGAGGTCCCTATGAATGGAGACAGTGAGTAGACCAAAATGCTTTGAAAAACCAGGGGATGAAATCTGGTAAGCGTAGGTAGAACGTAGTTGATCAATCTGAAATTATGTCCTGATCATGCCCCTTGGGGTATTTGAAAGTGCTTGTCACCACAAATCTTAGTGACAGAATTGCCGGCCCTTATTGTGGTCACTAAGTGAGGACTACGCACGTTCATTTAACACCAACCTGCAGTCATTCTTCCTGCAGTTGATGGGGAGACCAATGTGCAGTAGGGAGTCTCTCTGGATGTCTTTCTTATTAGAGAGCTGGTGTGCTGCAGGGGGGAAAGTGCTGTTGCTGGACTAGGAGTGGGTATACTCAAGTTCCAGCCCCTCTTCAGCCATGAAAGGTCCCTCAGGCTCTGCCCCAGTGTTGGGATTCAGCAGGTCTGCACCGGTTCCTGCAAATCGGTAGCTAATGTTTTTGGGATGCTGTGTTGGTTGTAAGTCCAAGGACCAATTGTAAGTCAATTTCAAACAATCACTAAGTGAATGGTTATAAGTCAAGGACTATCTGTACATGGGAACTACTGAACGTGCCCTTGTAAGAAGACATTCACAGGAAGCTGAATTTACCCTGAGTGGCCAAAGGGGGAAAAAAATCAGACAGGAATTTCAGGATACAGAATAGAGTTGGAAGGGACCTTGGAGGTCTTCTAGTCCAGCCCCCTACTCAAGCAGGAGACCCAGTACTATGTCAGACAAGTGGCTTTGCAGTCTCTTCTTAAAATTCTCTAGCGATGGAGCAGACATAGTTGCCATGGTGATCTAGCAGACAGGGCTAAATAATAAGGAGGTCACCCAGATGGGATTATCAAAAATATTTTAACATATTGAAATTTACATGTTGACTTGATCTTTCTACACCAGGGGTATCAAACTCAAAGCCCACGGGCCGGATCCTGCCCATGGGGTGCTTAAATCCGACCCACGGGCCTGGCCTGGAAATATTAAAGGACTGGCCCGTAGTGCCTCTGGCGGCTAAAACGGGCTGCGTGCACCCACCCTGTGCAGTGACCAGGTGGTCATGTGGCCAGGTGCTCATGTGACTAGGTGGGCGTGGCAAACTCAACATCACACATCACACCCAGCCCCGCCTCCCGGCCACTCGCCTCAAAGGCAGAGATGGAATATAGCTGCTTCGAACCGATTCAGGCTGATCCCACCACTGGCCGGCCCTGCCCATTTTTCAGCCCGTTTTGAAGTATACAAGTCTTAAAGTTGCCAAGGTTGGATACCTGAGCTAGATGTTCTGATAGATCGATGTTTTTCAAATTTGGCAACTTTTAAGATGTGTAAACTTCAACTTCCAGAATGCTGTCCGGGCAATTCTGGAAGTCCACACTTTAGGATTGCAAGTTTGAAAAACCCTGTCAAAAATGGACAAATTAAGATCCTTTTTAGGGATCTGTCTCCTTTTTAAAAAAAACAAACATATTACAGATTATCGTGAGCATCATATCTATGAAGGAAGACTCTAATAGATACATGCTTTATGCATAAAAATATAGAAAGGCATCTAAGGATCACTAATCTCCCCACCTTCATGGACCATAATTTATGAGAAGTTTGTAATGAACTCAACAGAAGGTTTCCTCAGCTCTGCTTTGCCCGAATATGCAATATCTCTGCTCTGTCATTGAGCTGTGATCATTCTGGCCCTAAAAATAGACACACAGTTCTCTCAATCACAAGAACTGTCATCCATTCTCTTTATTTATTGTATGGGACACTAAAAATAGACACAAAATTCTCCCGATCGTAAAACTTTGTCTTTATTTATATTCTGGAATAGTCAGATAATGAGGAAAAACTGAGCAGGAGAGATACGTGGAAAGACATTATTGATCTGATTTATCCTGTGTTTTAAAGCACAACCTGTTTTGCAAAGAGATGTACTGATATGAGGAAAAGGCCCAAGTGGGTAGAAGGATTTTTGACCCGCTTTCAAGCTTATTTTCTCAGAATTGGTTCTAAAACTGGACCTAAAGTTTATTAGCACAGAAATTGTAATTGGAGCAAAAAAGGAAGCAGGGAGCTTTAGGCAGAAAACATTATGGCAATTCAAGTTTTTGATGACTTTTTCTTGTTATTCTTATTTTCATATCTTGGCTTTAAATCAACCCAAAGACATTACACCTGTTCAACATAATCTATATATGGTATGGGAATTTATATCATTTTTTTCCACAAAGTTTTGCTATAGTTCAGGTGTTACTGTGCTTAATAGTGCGATTTTATACTATTTCATATGGTGGTGTAATAATCCAAATTAAGAAGGGGGAATATGCTTTGGGGTGAAGGCTCACTTTGTGTTTGCCAGCAAATGTTGAAAAGATTTGTGCAGTGTGGCAGGAAAAAGCACAATGGATGTGAGGTATTGAGATGTCTTATTGGTCTTTGAGATGTCCACAAGAGCCACATAAAATTGGGACAGTGGTCAGGAGTTTGTCTAATATCTCTTACGCGCATCTCCTCTAGCAAGTAAGCAAGTGGCAGTCCTCAGCTGCCCTTATTGGGCTGGGAAGTTAAGCAGGGATAAGCTTGGAGAGTCCATGGATGGGAGACAAATTGGGAAGAAAACGTCTGAAAGCTAGATTGTGGAGGGAGAAAAAGTGCTCCGAAAAAAGAAACAGACAATTACAGGCATCCAATTGTGATTGACTTATGACCACAATTGAGCCCCAAAATTATGTTGCTAAGTGAGACAGTTGTTAAGTGAGCTTTGCCCCATTTTACAATTTTTCTCATCACACTTGTTAACTGAATCACTGCACTTGTTAATTAGTCCCAAGGTTGTTAAGTGAATGTGACCATGGGGATGCTGCACCAGCAGGCATTGAGTGTCACTTCGAAGAGAGTGGAATTTTTGTGCAGTATAATTGACGTCCTCCTAACTTCCTTGTTCTTCTAGGAGGCTCCGACCATCAACAGTACTTTCTCGGAGAAGTGACAGACTTGCCCGAGGGAATGTACAACAGCAGGAGTATGAAGGTGACTTCTGACTCTCCTCCAAAGAACCAGAAAGTCCCACTGAAGGAAAAACTGCACAAATGCCAATATTGTGAGAAGATCTCCGACTGCCGCGCCCACCTGATTATTCACGAGCGAACCCACACAGGGGAGAAGCCCTACAAATGCTCTCTGTGTGGCAAAACCTTCAGTGATAAAATCAGGCACCTCATCCATGAGAGAATTCACACCAGAGAGAAGCTGTACAAATGCTCTGAGTGCAGGAAGAGCTTTGACACTCGCTGCAACCTCCTGAGGCACCGGAGAGTTCACACGGGCGAGAAACCCTACTGTTGCTCGGACTGCGGCCAGAGTTTCCGATATAAACCGCAGTTAGTGATCCACAAAGGGACCCACAAAGGGGAGAAGCCTTATAAATGTGCAGACTGTGGAGAAACCTTCAGTCAGATGAGGCATCTGGTGATACATAAATGGACTCACACGGGAGAGTGGCCTCACAAATGCGCCATCTGCAGCAAAAGTTTCAATCAAAAGTTGGACTTTATCGCGCACACCAGGACCCACACTGGGGAGAAGCCGTATGTCTGCTCTGATTGTGGGAAGAGTTTCATTTCGAGTTGCCAGCTGAAGAAGCACGAGAGAATTCACACCGGCGAAAAACCGTACCAGTGCGCAGAGTGCGGGAAATGCTTCTCTTACAGTTATCATTTCACAATGCACAAGCGAATACATACGGGCGAGAAACCTTACCGGTGCCCAGATTGTGGGAAATGTTTCATTTCTAGTTCTCACTTCACCACCCATAAAAGGACGCATACTGGTGAGAAGCCCTATCAGTGTACCTACTGCGGGAACAGTTTCATTCAGCGATCGCAGCTTGCCAAACATGAGAGGTCGCACATGGGAGAGAAGCCCTTCATCTGTTCCGAGTGCGGGAAGAGCTTTCCCCAGAGCCAAGGGCTCAAAAAGCACATGCGGACTCACACTGGCGAGAAGCCATACGGGTGCCTCAGATGCGAGAAAATGTTCTCCAGTTCCTTTAATCTGTCCAGGCATCAGAAAATCCATGCAAGGGAGAAGCTATAATGGGGCACTTTAGACAAAAGACGGTAGGGTGATCGGAGTAGCTAGATACAGGTAATCCTCATTTGAAGTGACAATCGACACCTGAAAAAGGGGACTTGCAATGTGGATTTGGAGTTCTGAAGGTCAGGTCCCTCCATGGTCCCCTGACCAAATTTCAGGCACTTGGCAACAGAACCATTTGCAGAATCCCATGGTCACCTCACCATGTTTTGCAATGGTTTTTGCAGAAAACCAGCACTTGGCAAAACTGCACCCATGGCAACCCATCGGTTTGTTTTAGAACCATGGTGTTTACTTAACAATGGCAGATTTTGCTTAATGAATGCGATGATTCACTTAACAATCGCAGTGAAAGGGTTTGTAATATCGGGTTGGTCATGTTCTATGACTGTTGTGACATGACTGTAACCGGCAGGCTCTGAGCCGTGGTGGCGCAATGGTTAATGCAATACTGCAGGTTACTTCTGGTGATTGCCAGCTGTCGGCAGTTCGGCAATTTGATTCTCACTTGTTCAAGGTTGACTCGGCCTTCCATTCTTCTAAGGTGGGTAAATGAGGACCCAGGTTGTTGGGGGCAATATGCTGACTCTGTAAACTACTTAGAGGGGCCTGTAAAGCTATATATAAGTCTAAGTGCTTTTGCTACTGTTATGTCAAGGACTGCCTGTTGTGGGTGTAGTATGGCGTAGGTCAAGAAAGAACACAGAAAGAACGGAACCAAGTCGTGTTTGGTCAGTTGCTAAACCAAAATGCTGTAAAGATCTGGTTTGCTGGCAATGACCTTGTTTCTTGTGAATGACCTTATTTCCCATTTGGGTTCACCTGCTAGTGGGAGAAACTAAACCAGAACCTCTCCACTCCCAAATCTGCAAGGAAATGAGATTGCCAGACCTCATGATATTCTCATGCTGATATATATATATATATATATAAAAATTTGATTTATATGCCGCCCTTCTCCGGAGATCAGGGCGGCTTACAATGCGTTAAGCAATAGCCTTCATACTTTTGTATATTTATACAAAGTCAGTTTACTGCCCCCACAAACTGGGTCCTCATTTAACCTACCTTAGAAAGGATGGAAGGCTGAGTCAACCTTGAGCCTTGGAGAGATTCGAACCTGCAGAAATTGCAGGCAGCTGTGTGATGCATTAACAGGGTGCATTAAACCACTGTACTACCAAGGCTCCTTGGTAGATATATCCCAAGACACTGCAAAGAATGCTGAAGTTGGGTGAGACCTTGGGCTTTTGGCATTTTAAAATGATTATACGGTAGTCCTTGACTTACGACTACAATCGAGCCCAAAATTTCTGTTGCTGAGTGAGAAATTTCTTAAGTGTATTTTGTTCCATTTTATGACCTTTCCAGCCTCAGTTGTTAAAGTGATTCGCTGCAGTTGATAAGTTAACAACCCAGTTGTTAAGTGAACCTGGTTTCCCCATCGGCTTTGCTTGTCAGAAGGTTGTAAAAGAGGATCACATGATCTTGGGACGCAGCAACCATCATAAATATGAATCAGTTGCCAAGCATCCTAATTTTGATCATGTGATCATGGGGAAAGCTGCAACAGTCATAAGTGTGAAAATCTGTCATTAAGTCACTTGTCAGTGCTGTTGTAACTTCAAACGGTCATTAAATGAACTGTTGTAAGTCAAGGACTACCTGTATTATGGTTTTATAGCAAGTGCTACTTGGGAAGAGAGCTCGACATCTGCAGGCAGATGTTTCAGAACCTTGTGTTACATAACTGGTGCCAATTCTTTCTCTGCTTCATTAACCATGATGGGTAAACTGTGGTTTCTGGCTCACTGTTTATACACCACTCTAAACAGACCAGAGAAAGAACTTCCTTGGTGTGATTTGTGAATAACTCTGAACATAAAAGTTTTTCCTAAAAAATTGACCAAGTACAGATTGAGATACCATGGTTTGTTCAACAAAGCATGATTAGAAATAAACTCAAGTGCAGTACAGTACAGTATACGAATGCAGGAGTCACATAAAAAGTTAACAAAGTTTGACCCAACAATGTGATAAATAAATTCAAGAGGTTGTAATTTACTATAATATAGACTAGCCTATATAGCTTGTATATTATATTCTTGCCTCACTTGCCTTTATTTTAAAGTATAGCCACACTATTATGTAATCTCCTACAGAGTACCATATAGCTCATGAAAGACATATTATGCATTTATATAAGATATATCCTATGTTTAGTATCTTAACATATAGCCACATTATAGGCATGTTTTAATGTTGCTTACAGAGAATTTCCTGTTAGCCTGAAAGGGGCCTCCTCCTTTCTCTCTCTTTCTCTCTCCCTCTCTCTCTGCTTGAGACCAGAACTGACAGGGAAAGCAATTAATCTGTTAACCAGTCTCCATAGAAAAAGGGAATAGCTTGACTGGGGTAAGAATGTATCTAATTCAAGCACACTTTAACATCCTCCTCCCTCGAATGTTGTTTCTACTCAATTAATGTCCTGTTTTATTGCTATGTTATTTTTGTATAACAAGGTAGTTGATAAGGGAGTATCAAAGGGATGGGATAGGAGGGGGTTGATTGCTTAGCAAATTTGGGTGACAATAACGGCTTAACTAACTTCATATATTTAGGGGTAATAGTAGATTATAAGTGGTCGGAAAGCATGTGACTGAACCAGGCCTATCAACTGGGCCTGGCTAGGATAGGAAGGACTTATAGCCAGTGAGAGGGATGTATAAAATATGCTGAGATCTATAACATGGGCTTCTGTTGTTGTGTCAAGCAAAAGTCTCACAAGCTATTTGCAAACAGCTTTTCTTAATCTTACTTCTGGCTGACCCAAGTATTGTGTGAATTTATTACGCACACATAGAAGACAAAGATCATTCTCGGAAAGCCCGAATACTTCAGTACGGAGTTTGCAAATGTGGCCTGTACGTTTGCTCATTGATTGAAAAGTTCATCTGTGTTGGAATAAATATCCATCTGCTTCTGTTCCAAGCCAGGAGAAAGACACTGGAAACATGGAGGCTGATTGGAAAGATGGTTTAATGAAGCAGAACCACATGGGTTCTGGCAAGCTGGCCACATGGATTTGAGTGTATGTGTGGGGGGTATTTATACCTTCTCTTGGGCTTTGCACTTGAACTTCCTGTTCCTGTGCAAGAAGATGTATTCTATTGGCTGTTGTCAGACTCCCATGGTGCCATGTACAAATCGTAGGAGTTTGTCTGAGATAAGGTTGGTTAAAGTTTGGCTGATGCAATGAAGGGGCTTGTTGGGCAGTTCCTATTGTGGCTGAATGGCTTTGCCCTGAAGGATAATTCCATCGTCCTGGAGCTGAAGGTCTTTTGTTTTGTAGATAGGCTGGCCCAGTCTTTCCTAATGGGCACAAGAGATCTGCTGGGGCTATTAAGAAAGTGGGGGTTGCTTTAAAAAAAATCATGTTTCTCCATTTCTCATCCAGGGAAATATACCGTTTCCCCCAAAATAAGACATCCCCTGATAATAAGCCCAATCGGGCTTTTGAGTTCATGGCAATAAGGCCAAGCACTTATTTCAGGGTTCAAAAAAATATAAGACAGGGTCTTATTTTCGGGGAAACACAGTAATATTCTGCCTTTTTAATATTTCTCAAAATATTTCATTCTTCTAGGAGAGGGGTGGGTGCTAACTTTCTTCATCTGTAAATCATTGCAAGGAATCTAATTGGGTTCCAACTTTGTGACAGTTCCCAATTTACTACAGGTAGTGCTCGATTTAGGACCGGTTGCTGAGGAACTGTCTGTTATGATGAACCTCCCTAGATGACCAAGATTTGAGCTAATGGTTGCCACTCCCTCCTGCTATCACCTTGATTGTAATTTTGGGCACTTGGCAACCAAGTTGCATTTACAGCATTTTGCAGTGTCCGGGAGTCACATGATTGCATCCTAAGTTGCATTAACAGAAGGATTCAATTAAGATCAAGTGAGGTACTAATACCTCATAAAAGAGCCATAAGCAAGGGAGCTGTGATTCTATCTCCTACCATCAGCTGCAAGAGGAGACCCTCAAGGCAAAGTAGCAAAGGCTGATACAGCCCTTTTGAAATACAGATAGTCCTTGACTTATGGCCACAATTGAGCCCAAAATTTCTGTTGTTAAGTGAGACATTCTCTAAGTGAGTTTTGCCCTTTTTTATGGCCTTTCTTGTCTCAGTTGTTAAGTGAATCACTGCAGTTGCTAAATTAGTAATCCAGTTGTTAAGTGAATCTGGCTTCCCCACTGTCTTTGCTTGTCAGGTCGTAAAAAGGGGATATGATACAAGTCATAAATATGAACCAGTTGCCAAGCATCTGAATTTTGATCACACGATTGTGGGGATACTTGAAAGATTGTAACTGTGAAAAATGGTCACAAGTCGCTTTTTTAAGTGCCTTTGTAACTTTGAATGGTTACTAAATGAACCGTTGTAAGCCTAGGACTACCTGTATTATTTTGTACATCCAGAGCTGTTTAGTTAGTATAATTATTTTACTGTCATACATTTATTTCAATAATGTTACATTAAAAAAAAATCATCTTCACAGTCCTTATTACACCGAGCCCAAAAAATTGAAAAAGGTCAAAACAGACGCTTTCATAATGTGAGATGAGATAAATGGAGATTAATGTTTGTAATGCAGATTAAATAAAAAGTTTGCAGAGTTGGTGTCTTTAAAAGTCGGGCTTTAAAATGTCAAAAATGGCATTTTTTTCAGCTCTGTTTATGAACCAACGAAACATGTAGTGAAGAAAAATGAACTTGTTTTAGTCATTGTGTTTTAGTCTGACAATTCTCTTATTCTGTACCCATGTATTTTCCTCCAGCACCAAAGGGATTAGAACATAATTGCGCGAATTCATAAATGTTGCATTTATACTTACACTGAGAGGTAAACAGAAGGTTTTGTGTTAAATTGATGCCAGTCCTCCTTATATTGAGGTCACTTTTATTTTGTTGATTGTTGAAGAATGTAACAGAAGAGGGGAGGGCGGAAGGGACTTCATTTTATTTTGCTTTTCAACAAAGAAACGAGAGGATTAAAAATGGTTACTTTCTGCTGATTCTTAATTATCAATTTTTTTAAAAGTTCTTTTCTCTGAAAGTCATGAAAGCTATCATTTTGAGCTAGAGCAATGTTTCTCCATCTCAGCAACTTTAAAACGTATGGAATTAAGGAGAAACTTCCTAACAGGGAGGACAATTAACCAAAGGAATGGCTTGCCTTCAGAAGTTGTGGGTGCTTCATCACTGGAGCTTTTTAAGAAGAGACTGGACAGTCACTTGTCTGAAATGGCATAGGACTATGATGTTGAACCTATGGCACATGTACCCCAGGTGGCATGCAGCGCCCTCTCTGGGCACAGGAGCCATCACCCCAGTTCAGCTCTGCCGACCAGCTGGTTGTTGGGTCTCTGCGGCACACGTGCGGGGGGGGGGGGGGCGAGGCACGTGTGGAGGGCATGTAGGATGTGTGTGTGTGTGTCACGTGAGCATGTAGCCACACGGGTGATTATGGGCGCAGCTCGTTACGCCCATGTAACACCTCTCCTACGCGAGCTGCACTGGCTCCCGGTGGTCTTCCGGGTGCGATTCAAGGTGTTAGTTATCACCTTTAAAGCGCTCCATGGCTTAGGACCTGGGTACCTACGAGACCGTCTTTTGCCACCAATAGCCTCCCACCGACCAGTTCGTTCTCACAGGGAGGGACTACTCAGGGTACGGTCAGTCAAATTATGTCGACTGGCGACTCCCAGGGGGAGGGCCTTCTCTGTGGGGGCTCCAACCCTTTGGAATGAACTGCCCCCGGAGATACGGAATATCCCTGATCTCCGTGCTTTCTGCTGTGCCCTCAAGACCCTGATGTTCCAACAGGCAGGGCTAAACATACGAACATGTGAATGATTTTTTAAATGTTATCTAATTCTGGGTTTTATTTAATTGACCAAACTAAGTAATAATTTTAATTAGCAATTTTATGATGTTTGTGTGTCTATATTTTTCTTGACTGTACACCGCCTTGAGTCCTGCGGGAGAAAGGCGGTATAGAAATATAATAAATAAATAAATAAAATAAATAAATGTGCAGGCAGTCACGCACACATTCGTGGGGGTGGGGCACTTCCCAATGGGGTGGGTGGAGTAGGGCCAGTGGTGGGATTCAACTTTTAACAACCGGTTCTCTGTCCTAATGATTTCCTCCAACAACCACTTTGCCAAACTGCTCAGAAAGTTAACAACCGGTTCTCCCGAAGTGGTGCGAACTGGCTGAATCCCACCACTGGGTGGGTGCATGCGTGGGGGTCACCTGTGCATGTGTGGGGGTGCGTGGTGCATGCGGGGGTTGCAACGTGCGGGGGTGAGTGCATTGCATTTTGGGGGTTCAGGCGCGGGTGCTCACATTGGGCACTCCATCCGAAAAAGGTTAGCCGTCACTGGCATAGGATCTCCTGCTTGAGCAAGGGACTGGACTAGAAGACCTCCAAGGTCTTTTCCAGCTCTATTCTGATTCCGATTCATCACTGGAGATTTTTAAGAAGAGCCTGGGCAGTCTGAATCCATTTCACTTAGTGACCATTCAAAGTTACAACGGCACTGAAAAAAGTGACTTATGACCATTTTTCAGACTTACAACCATTGCATCATCCCCACTGTCACCTGATTTACCATTCAGATGCTTGACAGCTTATTTACATTTAGGACGGTTGCAGTGTCTCCAGGTCACGGGACCCCCTTCTGCGACCTTCTGACAACCGAAGTCAATGGGGAAACCAGATTCACTTAACAACCATGTGGCTAGATTTAACTGCAGTGATTCACTTAACAACTGCAGCAGGAAAAAGTTGTAAAACGGGGGCAAAAAATTCTCACTTAGCGACATAAATTTTGGGCTCAATTGTGGCCGTAAGTCGAGGACTACTGGGAACAACCCCAAATAGCTAAATTATTTCATGTTCCTCAGCTGCCTCTAAGGGTTCAGGGCCAAGTTATCCACTTCTGGACAGCTAGTTCTGATCTCCAGGACTATTCATTTCAAAAGGAACCTATTCCTTGTGAGGTTGGGGGATCCCTGTGTTAAGACTACTGCGCCCCTTATCCGCAGCCACTGCGAAAAATGCCGACTTGGGAAATGATCAACCGACCACTCGTGCATCCATGCATATCAACGGTGCGTTTTTCCCTTTCTCGCCGTCTGATTGGATAACAGCGACATTCAAACGGCCCAATTGAAAACGACGGATTCGACGGTCAGCGTCGGCATTCCCGCGGGGCGGGGTGTAGAAGGTATTCTGGCTCGTCTATTGGCCTCGGGTCCCTCTTACGCCAAGCGTCAATCAACCGACCTCCAAGATAACGGCGAAACGGTTACATCCCTTTCCCCGCCCAGATCTCGGTCCCGCCCCCTTCCTGTCATTGGGAGTTTCGGCCAGCACTGGCCCGCCTCCTTCCCCCCGTAAAGATTCGAACGCCTTTTCTAAAGAGTGGATTGGCTCGCGAGTGAGGGGCGGGGCTCGGAAAGCGTGGCGCGAAGGTCGAATGTAGCGGACGGGACCAAGGAAGGGGTGCCTTCGTGGAATCGCTGCCGCGCTCCCCCCTCCGCTCCCGCCCCAGGTGAGAATTTCCGAGCATTGTGATGTCACCGCCAGGAATCCGTACCATTGTGACGTCACGGAGAGGCACTGGATTGCTTTCGTCGGCGGTGACGTCAGAGTTTTTACCCCCCCAACTTTCTGGAGGATTTGCGGGAATGATAGCTGATCCCTAGCCGAAATCTGCATTCAGCATCCTTGGCCGGCTGAGGTCTGAATTAGGATCGCTCCCGTAAAAAAAAGATCCACTTTGGTGCTCGGGCATACCAAGGCAACCGTTTGGCTGTGTCGGCATTTGTTAGCCGGGCTTTAGGTATGAACAAATTAATTGCATCGATGACTTAATTGCACGTAATTCCGGGGATCTCTAGGAGACAGTTTGTTGAAATCCCCTCGTTTAATCCCCACAACTCATCTGTTAGGGTATGGTCTACTAACTCTATTCAGCAGACTCGTAGGGTGGATCATTAACAGAAATATCTCCTTTATCTTTAAAAAAAAAAAAAAACTTGAGAGAATCTCAGCATTTCTACCCATATTTGCAAGCACAGATGCTAATGTTGGAATCTACCAGTCAATAGAAGAGAAGTGAAGAGAGAATAGGAATAGGAATAGGAATGGAATTCTTATTGGCCAAGTGTGATTGGACACACAAGGAATTTGTCTTTGGTGCATATGCTCTCAGCCTACATAAAAAGACAAGATACATTTGTCAAGAATCATAAGGTACAATGCTTAATGATAGTCATAGGGTACAAATAAGCTACTAGCAACAAAGTTACAGTCAGGCAGTCATAAGTGGAAGGAGATGGGTGATGGGAACAATGAGAAGACTAATAGTAATAGTAATGCAGCCTTAGTGAATAGTTTGACAGTGTTATTTGTTTAGCAAAGTGATGGCGTTCAGGAAAAAACTGTTCTTGTGTCTAGTTGTTCTGGTATGCAGTGCTCTATAGCAGGGGTCACCAACCTTTCGGACCTCAGGGATCACTAAATTCATAATTTTAAATCCCAGGGACCACTAATATATTTTTTAAAAAATGATAAATAGTATTTAGTGCAATATAAAAAATGCAAATAATTTTTATGTGGACCAACCAAAATTTTCTCATGGACCACCAGTGGTCCACGCACCACCAGTTGGTGACAGCTGCTCTATAGCATTGTTTTGAGGGTAGGAGTTGAAACAATTTATGTCCAGGATGTGGGGGGTCTGTAGATATTTTCACAGTCCTCTTTTTGACTTGTGCAGTGTACAGATCCTCAATGGAAGGCAGGTTGGTAGCAATTGTTTTTTCTGCAGTTCTAATTATCCTCTGAAGTCTGTGACTAGGAATACATTCTGTGGTTACAGAATCGTTGCCAGAGGCGTTGTTTCTCGATCATATAATCCCTGAAAAATACCCTTCCCATTCACTAGGAAGATTGTGGCCAGGGCCGGATTTTCCTATAGGCTAACTAGGCTTCAGCCTAGGGCCTCAAGATCAAGAGGGGCCTGCATTCAAATTGTTAGCAAAATTAAAATTACACTTTCACCATAGGTGAAAGGGCCTCATAAGTGGAATAGCCTAGGGCCTCTTTTCATCTAAATCCGGCCCTGATTGTGGCAAGAGATTCTTGCTCTTTATTCTTTCAACAACAGTCCTGCAAGGTGGACTGGGCTGAGAAAAAATGGCTGGCCCCAAGCTACCCACTCAGCTCCATGGGCTTATGTATGAACAGTTCCCCAAACCTGGTAACTTCCTAACAGGTGGGCTTCATTCCCCAGAATTCCCTGCCAGCATCTGTATTGCTGATAAATCTGGTGGAGACATGTAGAATCTGCCAAGGTTGAGAAACTGTTCAAGTGGAAATTATGTATGTCTTCCTGGTCCTTGTCCCAGCTCCTTAATCACTACTATGATTTATTTGGTATTTTTATAAAAGTAGAAATTGGTTTTAAAATCAATCTTAAATATATCAGGAAGCTAGTTGATCAATGTGTCCAGAGATCATCTTCACTTGGATTAATATTGTTCCATGTAACTAAGAAGGTTAGCCACAGAAATTCTGGTCCCAACTGAGGTTGGAGGACGTAGGTAATAACAATTCTGAGTATGTGCTAATTCTGCTCATACTTTTTTTGCACCCAAATCAGGTCACTTAGAGCTACAAAAATCTGAAAAATCATGAGAAAAGAAGTGTCACCCACTGTCTAGTAATCTTCCAGGTTTCTACTGGCTGATCTGCTAGCCCTAGATTTGTAGAATTTGATATGCTATGTCATTATAGTAGTTTGAACAGAGAATTTAAAAGGATCATCAATTGCTACGAAGGTAGCTTATAATTCCAATAGCCAAAATGATCATACAGGTGAAGTCCTTTGAACCTTTTGTTTAGTGACTGTTCAAAGTTACAAAAGCACTAAAAAAAGTGACTTATGACCGTTTTTCACACAACCATGGCAATATCCCCATGGTCAGGTGATCAAAATCCAGACGCTTGGAAA